AAACTAATTACAGGCACTTTCACTAAGAAATTTTGACAAGCCCAAATAAACTATTGCTGTCAACATAAAGATGATTGAAGAGACTGAGAATAGCTATAGGCATGGATACAACAGCTCATAAAATATTAGTAACCCTAATTAAGCTTTCCCCAGCTGTCACCACAGCTGGAGATCTCTTTCTTATACTTATGCTTTTTGATTGAAAAATAACATCAACAAAGATACTGATAATATTAAGGTTCTTATTTAAAATAAGATCAAACAAAATAAGATAAAAGTTCAGTTACACTTTGATTGAAAGTTAATCAAGGTTTGCATATATTTATTTATAACTAGTATGTTAAATAATTACAATGAAAATGTTTTTATTACATATTTATTTGATTCCAAATTCCAGAACATATTGATATTGACATATTGAATATTTAATGTTGATGTAACAGTTGCTAAGATTTGCATTCTTGTGAGAGCTGAAGGAACTACTCATCTACTTAGTGCTCCATGGGTTCCTTCCCATACAGGATTAAATTGGTTTAGGCTATCAAGGAGGTTTTGACCGAGTTTGGTATTGCTGATTATGTAAGAATGGTTTTCTTTGACACTACTGCTACCAATACTGGAATAAATTGTTGTGCTAAATGCAGGTAAACAATTTTTTTTAATAAAAATTTTATTAGATTGAGTTTTAGATATATTCTTGGAACATTATGAGTCAGCAGTTACCATAGGTCAGCAGACCTGGCAATGTACTTTTGTTGATGTTGATAATGACACAGTTTATTGATCACTTCAATTCGCAACAGATTTGTCATTCTTAGTTTAAAGAACAAGCAGATGAGGCAAGAAATCTTTTAATAACACTTGTTAATAAAGGTGTTTTCAAATATTTTCAGGTTAATTTTTCTAGCCATTTAAATGTTCAAGTTTATGTAAGAAATGTGAAATATTTATTAATAAAAACAATATCCAACATTACCAGGAACTAGAGACTACCAGGAACTTACTGAGCTAGCTCTTATTTTTTAGGAACCAACAATCAAGCATCTCAACATTCACAAGCCTGGGGCAAGTAAACCATACACGTTTTATGGCAGTAAGTATTTACTGATCTGAAGAGTTCGCAATGTCATGCTTCCTTATAATTTGACAAAGCAAATCCTGAACTTGAGACAAAAGGAAGATAAAGAATGTGGAAAAGATGGCAACATATATTTCTATTTTCTATTTTCCTAAATTTCTCAGAGCTGGGAATTCAGATACAGCTGCAATCAAGAATAGTTTTTTTAGCCTTTGATTTCATAATGTTATAAATAAACTCATATTAGCATTATTATTTGATAAGATAATGTTAAAAATTATTGAAGTATTAACTGTACAGGACCAGCTCTTTGTTCTGGCAGATTCTCCATCGGAAAATGTTTAAATTAGATGCAGCGTCAGCTTTCAAAATTTGGAAATACCTTCAGTGGTTGATTATGTAAGAGCGAATTCGTGGCTATTATTTGATATTTTTGAACCGACTGTTTTCAAGCATGATCTTTTTTTTTTTTTTTTTTTTTAACATCTTTACTTCCAACAAGGCTGCAAGCAACCACTATAAGAGTTGGAAGTTACTGGAAGAAAAAAGACTAACGATTGACTCTTTATTATTTTACCAATTTTATAAAACAGTAACTTTTACTTTCAAATTAATTTTCAAAAATCTTTTTAATAAGAAGTTTTTTTGATATTAAGATTTTTTATTTTTTGAAAAAATTGTATTTTGTGACTTACGCCCTTTTAACAAAAACCGATTCATTTAAATTTAAATGCACAACTCTTGTTTGACATAGTTACTGTTATTGGAAACCATCTCTTAGACATTAAAAAGTTTTGGTATTTGAAAAACCAAACCATTTATATTTGAAGCAAATATGATTAAACTAACTGGTAAAAAATTTGAACGCCATTGAATCACTCATTCCTTGCCCTCAAATGACATATTTGAAACAAAAAGACGGACCTTAAAATGACTAATAACTGCTTAGTTTAGAGCAAGGCTAACATTAATATTTTTTATATTTTTATATAGGGCATATAAATATATGAATTTTTGATTAAAATTTCCCTTATAAAAATATTGCAGTTTACATTTTAATAATCTTTGATTTCTTTTATTCTTTACTAAATTGTTTATCAGTTATATCAATTGTTTATCAAGGTCAAGATGTCCTTGTGTTGGGCGTTGAGGTTACAAGTCACCTTGTGGTATACATCGTTTCTTGCAAAACAATTGCATAAATATTCTTTCTTCACTTTGTTTAGGATAAATTAAATTAGTATAATATTTGAACTAAAATTTAGGTCTGTTTTTATCAAATAGCAGTTCAATAGTAGTCAAAACAGCATCAAATTCATTCAAATTTGAAGTCTGCACTGTAAAATGTAATTTTAAAAATATTATATTTATTATAAATATGTGTTTTTATATTAAATAAAAAACTATCAATCGCATATATATTTGGAAAAAAAACCGCTAAAGTAATACGTTCGTTTTTATTAATTTTAAACAAACGCCAACGTTTGCATAAGCAAAATTAAAGAAAAGTGACGTTCGTTTTTCTTCCTGTTTTTTTTTTTAACAAACGTTTGCATGTTTACAAGAACATACACTTAACAAGTATCATTTATTGCAGCATGAAAAAATTCTTTAGACAAACGTTGTTTACTGCATATGAAAACAGTTATATATTATCTTTTTGTAATAGAATGCAGGCATTTTAGGAATTATTACAACAAATAAAAATTCTACAATAAAAGTGAATAATATATCAAAGTAATTGATATATAAAATATAATTAATTACATAAAATAAAAATTATTATTCAGCAATTTAGTGTAATAATTTTTTTAACAGTTAAATAATTTTATATTTGCCAATATAATTAAAAGTGCAGCAAGTTTTTGTTAAGAGTTCAATCTTATCAAAAACATTTACATTTAAATTGGCGCTCTTTTAATTTTTTTTTTTTTTTTAGTGGAACGACCATATCTTTTAAAAAGCAGTTGATAAAAAAATACAGTTGAATATATATATATATATATTTTTTTTTTGATGACTTAGTGTTTTCAATTTTAGTTACAATGATCCGAAGCTGTAGGAACAAAAATTATATAACAATTATAAAAAGTAGGTTGTATGTAAAATTATAATAAGGTTTTTTCGGTTTTAATCTTTTCGTTTTAAGAACCTGCTACCGCTATCGTGCATTTGGAAATCGGTTGCGATGGTTACAAAATCATATTATAAGCGAAACGTTTGTTTTCAATATTTACTGTTTTTTTCGAATTTATTAAAAGATTTTTTGAAGTTCGATGATCGAGTTTTAAATTTCACTTTTCAATTTATTTTCTTAAAATGCTTTACGGTATCATTTTGTTATCATTGTTTATTAAAATTCACACTGGTAACAAAACTTTTTAAATTTTGTAAGTATACTTCAGTTTTATAATCAATTTTTTCTTTTCATTTAAAAAGTTTATGTTTTGGAACTAAAGTCGAATTGTTTTATGGCGATAAGACGACAATGACCGCTTGAATATAATTATGAAAACAATTTTTTTTTTCATTTTTGTTTATTTTGTTGATATATTCAGTGAATTTTTTTAAACAAAAAAAATGCAAGAAAAGATGCTAGGAATATTTAGATTTAATATTTTTGATAATAATTTGATTTCAAGATATAAGCTGATTCTATTCTAAGACTGTAATTTCAAGCGAATTTAATTTTATTCGTTTCATTCGATTTAATAAACATGTAAATTATACCAACAATATAGTTCAATAATTTGTAAATCGACAGTTCGTCCAAGTTTTAATACTCCTGTGACACTATTGCCATTAGTAGCTTTTTTTATGTTCTCACCGTAAGTAAAATTTTCTCATTAGAACTTGTGTTCATTTGGTCACTCGTAAAGAGAAATATTAATTTTATAAAATGATAGTGAAAGTAAAACTTTTCTTTAAAATGACTGTTACATGAATTACAAAATTTAAAACAAAATTTTATTTGTCTATTCAAAAAACATGCATTCGATATAATTTGTATAAAAAATTAAATTTGATTGAATAGATTATTGGTTCTTCTTAGCTGCGTTAGTTGCTTTTTTTTATGTTTTAATAATATATATTTTGTAGCCTTATTCAAGAAGCGCTAATTGCATCAAAATTTAATTTATAAGTTGTATAAAAGTTGCAAATTTTTATTGATTTTCTTCAAAGTTTCAAATCGACGTCGAAATCGAATCACCAAATATTTGAACCCTCACTCTTTGACGTTTTTTCATATTTATTTAATTAACTTATTTTAAAAAAGATTGTCGAAGGAGATTTTCGATGTAAATTTTAACAAGTTCTGTAGGAATTCGGTTTATAAATACATTGAGTTCTTCACAAATTTGCATATAAATAAAACAGGTTTTCCTTTTTATCTTCTTATATAAAAAAAATGATGATATTTTATTCGAATGACAATATGAATAAATAAAGCATTTTTTCTAAGTTAAACATATTTTTAATCTGTTTTTTGATATTTTAAGTAAAAAATATATTTTATATATGTATGTTTATATATGTATATTATTGGTTATTAAAAATTATAAACACAACATTTATAATAAAATTTATTAATATAAAAATTATGTTCAAAATAATAAAATTAGTATATTTTTTATAATTCTTATTAAGAAGTTATTTTGTTTAAAAGTTTTATTAAGTTTTATATATAATTTCATTTATTATTAATGTAATTATGTTTATTATATTATAATATAAATATAATATATTTATTAATAATATGAATTTGTATTCAATTTTTTATTTAATTATAGTGTATTAATTATATTTGTATATAAAAAAATAATAATATTATATGTATAATATCACAATTTTGATTATTATTTTGTTTTTTGTTTATTATTTATTTGTTTATTGTTATATTTCACATTTAATTTTTCTTTAGATCGTCTATCTAAAAGTATTAATTGTTTATATTATGATGAATTCAATTTTTTCTACGAATGTTTTTACGAAAGTCAATCGTCATTCACTGATGAAATAAACTCAATTGTTGATGAACTAAATAAACAATGGTTTGGTTGGACGATTTGGATTAACGATGGAAAAACTTCTTACGCAACTTCTTGCGATAATTATTTCGTAAATTATTACATAAAATCTGGAAGAAAGTTAAGGTGGTTACGTGTTTATAAAAATATTTTAAGTGATGAAGAAAAAAATCTTTTAATTCGATGTTCAACTAATGTTCGCGATGTCTGGTTTTATCGTCCAATTAATTTCGAGGGATGGAAACCGAAAGATAAGATTGAAGTGTTGTTGATATACATCTCAGATTATTTAATAACAAAAAAAGATTTTGAAGAAAATTTTCTTCCTTGGATTAATCTTTGTGAAGAATTAGAACTTGAACTTCACGACGACATTGATTTCTTTAAAGACATTTGTCAATGGATTCGTTGTTCGAACATCAAGAAGTTTAAGATCAAGTACCGTGGAAAAAATTTTCGTAACCTTGATGAATTAACTTTATAACGCGGAAAAATGTTTAATATTTTAAATATATAAAATAAAAACAATAATTATAAAATAATAAATGAAATATTTAATTTATTTTTAAATAATAAAAATAATAAAAAATTAAATTATTTAATTTATTTTTTTATAAATATATTTGCTTTAAATATACGAAATAATTTAAATATATTAGATTTAAATAAAAAAGTTCAATACTATATTATAATATTATTTATATTTATAATTAGTTGTTTTTAAAATATATTAGTTAAAATAGTAATTACATAAACTAATAAATATATAATTATATTTGTGGTACATAGTTTTTCATAATTATTATTTTTTTTAACATTTTTAATAATAATAACATTAAACTATAAATAATAATAATTTATATTAATCTTTGTTTAAATATATAATTTTTTTTTATAAACTTTTTTTTTATATTTTCATAATTATATCATGAATTTTGATCATTTTGATTATAATATTAATATATTTTTTCTTTTGTTACTATAAATATTAAAATATAATTAATATCAAAAAGTGTTAATTATATAAAATACTAAAATTAGATTAAATATACTTTTACGGTAATTACCTTTTTTCTTATTAAATTAATAATAAATATTTTTTGACAATATTTTTTCTTTTTTTACTTCAATATTTCTTTATTATATTCAACCTTCGTTATTATACATGATGTTTATGATAAACTCATGAGTTTTCAGGTTTATTGAAAGTTGATGAAATTTAATTTTATATTTAAAAAAATAAAATTATATTCTGCACACAATCACGTTTATGCTAATATCAATTATTTTTAAAGTGTAAAGTATTCGCCATTTTTTTTTAAGATTTTCGTTGACAACGAAACAAAAAAATTCGAAACTTTGCAGAATTTTTTTTTGGAGTTATTTTGTTCGAAAGTTAAAATTTCATATAACTATTGCTTAATAGTAAATCAGACATTAAGTTTTATTTCAATTAAAATTTTTTATATATTAGTTATTAAAAAAAAAAAAAATTAAATTTTACTTAAAAAATAAAAATTTTAAAGTGTCTTATATTTATTTATATACATTAAAATGCTAAAAGTCATGTTGGCAGAACACATCGGTTTTTTGCAAATGTAAAAAATGCCAGAGCATTAAATAAGTTTAGGATAGTTGACAATTTCGTCCAAAGATAAAAAACTTAATAATGATTTTAAAATTGATATATTTGATAAAATATTAAAGCCAGTAATATTGGCAGTATAAGAAAAGAGCAAAACCGCCTCAGTTTCACTGCAGGGGTACTTTCATTTTTCATTACTTAAATAGGACATAAGCTTTTAAAAGTCTTTATTTGTATAAATAGCCACGTCCTATTTCTTCTAGTGCGTTTTTTAAACAATGTTTAACCTGCACCAATCTATAATTAATTTTATAAAGAAGTTCCATCTGCCTCTCCGTGGCTGATAATTTTTAACTCAAGTAAAACTAAAAGTTATCACAACAATCAAGATCTTCCTAAAATTATGAACGGCAATGTACATCTTTGTTCGGCCTTTAAGCAGTGGCTTGGCGACAAAAAATAGGCCTTCCCTTAAAATTTTAATCCTAAATTATTTCTCTCTTTCCTCCCCCTCAAAACAAAAAAAAATTATACATGAAAACAAAAGGCGTTATTTTTAAATTTAATTTTGATTTAAGTTAATTGAAACAAGTATGTTACATACTGTATAGCTAAGAATTTGTTATTGTTAAATATACAATAAAAGTGAAAATGTTATTATATGTATTTGAAAAATTTAGCTTAGGCCCCTAATAAGTCTGGGCCCTCTAACGGCTGAGGGCCCATCGTTACGTTTCTGTCTTTAAGATACGAAAATTATTTTCGATATTCTTGGAAACCACAAATCAAATCCATGGCAACATAAGCATCTGATAGGGTTGCATCTCTTTATCGTGCTCGCTACTTTCTTATTTAGGAATCTATTTTTTATCTCAATAAATCTCAATGCCCTTTTTCTTTTAGGTAAGGTGCACAAACGCATTGTAAACATAGTCGGACCCGCTCTTGCAGCAAATTTTTGTATTAAATGTAAGTAGTTTTAAAAAATCTATTTAAGTCCATACTCTAAAACTAAATTTTTTTAAATTTCTTTACAGAGAGTTTTCCTAATTTAAATTTGGTAGTGATTTTTTTAGACAGTTTTTTGTCGTATGTCATGAATTCAATATAAATTTTATAAATAAATATTTATACAAAAAATTATGGTCCAAAAATGGGTAACTATAAAATTTGGATAATCTTCAACCATGAAAGACATTCTTGTTTTTGTTAGATACAAAACAAACAAATAACGCTATAAAAAACAAATCAACGCTATATAATATCACAACAAAGAGTTATAATATCACAACACAGAGTTATAATATCACAACACAGTTTTAAAATATCACAACACAGAGTTATAAAATGATGTGGCACCAGCTTTTAATTGTATTTAGTCGTGAAAAGTATATTTCATATTAAACCCATAAAAGTTTGGTAATCTATGCTCTTTGAAGGGTTTTTTTGACAATTGTTGACACGGGGGAGGGGAGAGGTCAATTAAAGTTGACGTCAACAATATTTTTTTTTTTTTGAGTTTCATTGCTTTAATAACGAAAAATTAGGCTAAGTTTCTAGCGTAGTTTCATTTTAAAAGAGGGGGCGGGGGATTCAAAATTTGACATAATATTATATTACTTTAAGAGTTTTGTGCAAAGACAAAGTTCAGCAGTTTGTCAAAAGGATGTTTTAGTAAATTGCAAGAAAAACATTCTGTTCAAGTTTTAGCATTTAAACCTCTGTTGAAGTTTTTACATGCACGCAAATAGTCACTCTGGGTTTCAAAAGACTGGTTTGTTTTCGCTCAGCAAGATGAAAATCGAGTGACAATAAAAATAAAGCAAATCAGGCTAGGAAACAACGTAATCTTGACGTAAATTTGACCTTGATGATGAGCAGCAGATAAATCTTTTAACAACACCATCTCCAACAACAACAGCAGTAGCAAACTAAGTCAAGTATAAAAGTGTCCTAATGTTTTTAGAAAAGTTTAAGCAAAACAAAAAAGTGAATGATATCAAACCGAAAATTCCAAATGCAAGTTTTGGCTTTGTCATACATCTATTCCCAAGAAATGTATAAAAACACTGAGTTTTATTGCATTAAAAAGTGCCACGCAAGTGACAACTCAACTCAACCTCCAAAACCTCTTAAAGATATAACATCATCACATAAATAAAATTATTTTTTTATTTTTTTTTTAAATTGTATTATTGGTTGATTTTTAATTAACATAAATGGTTGTATTTTTTAAATTAAGTATTTTTTTGATAACCCATTTATTTGCACATTTCATTCCTCCCAATTAGGAGTGTATATTGAAATATGCAGCCGTAGAATAGAATGAAAAAGGAGGAGTCGAAGTGCAGTGGTTAGTACGCTAGCCACAGAAATAGAGATCTATTATTCAACGCCACCTCTGGGTAAGTTTTATAGCATCGATAAGAAAAGAAGCGTTTTTTCAAATGCTTTTCTGTGATAAGACCGAAAGATTTAATGGGCACCTAAATAAAAAAAAATTATTAAAAATTTTTTTTTTTTCTAATCAAATGAAGTTTCTTAAAAAACTTTTTTGAAAATATATTTTTATATTTAAATACAATTCAAAAGTCTTTACAACTTAAAAAAAAAAAAAAAATTGAAATCTTTTTACCGTGATAAATAAAAACTTATTTGACCCGCATTTACTCTACTGATTGGAAAAAAAAAAGCAATTTTAAACTTACTTGGCAAATTGTGTGAGAAATCATGGTAAACTAAAAATAAATCAGGCGCACTTATTTTTACCACTTATTTATACCACTTATTTTGGTAACTTTAAGTTAATCAGACAGCGAATTTTCTCAGATTAACTTAAAGTTAATCAAAAATAACGACGAGATTTAAAATAGGGGGGAAATAATGGTGTAAACAACTATTGCCCGAAATCTGTTTTTTCTATAAAACTAAACATGTTCAAGCAATAAAAGAGTTGTTGCCAGGACCGGCGCGAGTAGGTGTCACGTGGGGGGTGCCATTACAACTTTTGGCGAAAAAAAAAAAAAAAAAAAAAAAAGATCCTTGTTTTCCAAAATTTGCCGACTGTCATGACGACATTTGCCGACTGTCTAACCTATATCGAAAGGGTCGACATTTGCCGACTAACTAGGTCCAGTTTGCCGACTAAAAATCTTTGCTGGGTGGGGGGGGATGTCACACACCCCTATCGCGCCGGCCTTGATTGTTACATGTTTAAAATCCCACACCTTTCTCTTGCGTTATGACCCTATAATTTATTCAGTTTACAATCATTTTAGTAAAAAATAAGTTACAGAAATGAAATCTATGGGAAGTTTCCTTTTCTGAAAAAGCTATGAATAAAATATATGTTCTGCAACACAAACAATTAGATTGCTTAAAGAGAAAGCACTAATTTTGTAAGTGTGAACTACAAACAATCTTTTAAAATATGTTTAAAGTAAAGAAATAAAAGTCATTTACATAAAAATTGAGATTTTGTTCATTATTCTGTTGATTACAGAATACAAAAAGTTTAATGCAAAATTTTAACATTGAGTTATAATAATTTGCGTTTATATTAAAAAAGTACTTTGTAATATCCATTACAACGCCATAGCAACCGTTATATAAGCAAAAATATTTCTAATATTTAACTGCAAATTTCTATATATTGTAAATGCTAAAAAAACATTTTAAGTATTAAAGTCTATCTTGCTTATCTTATCTGATTGCATGTCTTTGCATATTAAAGAAATTTTTTGATTTATTTTTATTAGTACTACACCATGCAATATTAGCGTAATTAAAATAGAAATGAATAAAAGAAAAATATAAGAGTTTTAAACAACTTGAATTTAAAAAAAGTTTTGCCCTATAGAGTAGGTCAATGCTACTTGATATTTTACCTTCAATATATTTTATATGAATTCTCCATGTCACATTTTTGTCTAGGAGTACTCTTAGAAATTTTAATAATACCTCTCTTTTTATTTCGCAATTGTTAATACAAAGAGTTAGAAGTATTAATGGAATTTTGTCTCGATCATGATAGCGATGAAAAAAAGTATATTTTGTTTTAGTTAAATTTAGAGATAATTGGTTTGCTTTAAAATATTCAGCAAGTTATAGTAATTCTGTGTTTACAGTTTTAAATAACATTTTTATATCATTGTGAGCATAAAATAGATTAGTATCATCTGCAAACAAGATTGCGTCTAATACATTACAAGATTTGCTTAGATCATTGATATATACTAGAAATAAGAGCGGTCCTAGTATAGATCCTTGTGATACTCCACAAAATATATTTATGTTGTTAGTTTTTCCGTGATTTTGAGAAATATATTGCTGTCTATTTGACAGATAGCTTTTAAACCATTTAAGATTCAAGTGTTTAATACCGTAGTTTTTTAATTTGGTGAATAAAAAATGATGATTTACAGTATTAAAAGCTGAGGTCAATAAATACTCCTAAAGTATATTTATTTTCATCAAAAGATTTAAGAATATCATGAACAAGATGATCAGTAGAGTGATCCTTTTTGAATCGAAATTGTTTATTATAAAGAATGTTATTATTATCTAAGAAATAATAGAGTCTTTTATACATAGTATGTTCTAATATTTTTGAAAAGCATGGTAGTATTGAAATGGGTCTATACCCAGTTAACCACGACAAATGGGTCCCAGCTGGGACCCATCTGGGCGAAATGCTGGGACCCACTTGGGTATCCCACATGGGTCCCATCGTGATTTTGTAAGTGGGACCCAACTGGGTCCCATCTGGGCTTAGTCTGGATTTTAGATGGGAAATCCCATATTGAACCCAGATACTTTTTTTATTTGCCGCGCGTCTTCTTAATTATTTGTAGTGTTTTTCGCAGATTTGCGATTTTAATTTATTATTTTTGCATCTGCAAAATAAAGTAACTTTTTCGATTTAAAAGTGTAGCATTATTTATTTAAAATGAAAAAGTAAAGGTTATTTTATACAGTTTATATTAAATTCGTGATCTGGACATTAAAATGTATTAGGCGAATGAATATTTGGTCTGACATAATTAATACGGATCAATTTAAAAAACAGATTTGAATTTTATAATATTTTTAAGCAACAAAAAACTATCATCATACAATGAATTGATTCAAAACTGTTCGACAATAAATATATTCTGTTACGGTAGTTCTCATATTGCAACCGTGATCGCATGACAAAATTCTTCTTTAATTTGTATTGTTTTGCTTCTTTAGTGCTTTCATCCATTTTTACACTAATTTTATAAAGTAAAAATAAAAAATTGAATAATATAATAATTTATAGCATATATATTTTTAAAGTATAGATAAAAATATTTTTTGTTAATTTTAATTAGGGCATACCATGCAGTGTGCTATACTATGCCATATCTTGCAAATAACTAACAAGCACTAGGCAAAAAAAAAAAAACACACGCTTAAATCACAAGCTGACTCAATACAGTATATAAATCGATATAAGTGTAAAATAACCATAGCCAGATTGAAATATTCCCATAGTTTGTTGTTACAATAACAACATAAACAAAAAATAAAATAACAAATAAAAAAGTGAAATACAAAAACAAATACTAGAGAACTGGAGCCTTGATATGATACTATGTATAACAGTAACTTCTACAGTTCCCAACATCAAGTTTAAAAGTTTCTTCTTTCAGTTCTTCAGTTTTTCTAACAGGCATCCTACAGGAAATCTAAAGCAATGTTATTTTACAGTTAATGTTTGATGTTATTTATTAGGCCTGACATAAAAAGACTTGTAAATAACTATGATTATAATTAAAATTACAAGATTATTATGTTACCAGTGCCGCCGAGAGGGTGGGGCGAAAGGGACAGTTTGTCCCGGGCGGCAGATGTCCGAGGGGCGCCACGAAAAGAAATGTATCTAAAAAAAAAAAAGATCCTTCACTCAAGGATTCTGTCCCGGGCGGCGCGAAGACTCTCGGTGGCCCTCTATGTTACCATTTGAAATTTTAAGTCTTGAACAAGTTGACTAAAAATTTATTTTTTAATTTCATTATGTCTTTGAGATACGTTTTTTGATAATAAATTCAAAATATTATTATACAATAATAATTACTTTATTACAATGCAATTGATGACAATACATGATGCGAATAAACTATTAAAAATTGATTATTGGAGTAATAATGTATAACATACATGCTTTAACATATTTAAATAAATGAGTAAATATTATTCTACCAATCAACTGACAAATGAAAATAAAAATTACCATGGAGGTACCAGATGAGATTTATGTGAAAAATCCTGCAAGTGTGTATTCATTCCAAATCACGTTACACCTACTGTATATGTCCTTTTAAAGGATTTTATTTTAAAAGATAAACTAGTTTTAATACCATCCACAATCCATTCACAGAAGCCCAGGTCAAAACCTGTATATTTAACAAATTCTATATATTTTTCATATACAGAAATTATTTTATTTATTTTATCAAACTCTGTTAATTAATGGTTTGAGATATTAAAACTCAGGTAAAAAAACCTTTCCTTACCTTTTTAAAACCTAAATATTGAAAATGATGATGTGAAACTTACTAGATTTAGTTGAACCATTATATGGAAGATGCAGCGTAATTTTGTCAAAAATTAACATTTGTTCAAGTATTGTAATTTCGGTTGTTAATCATAAATTTACACAGATCTCTAAAAACAAAACACAGATTAATAGTATCTTATTATTATATTAGAGATTATAGTAACCGCTTAAATAATTAAAAATTCACTATTCACTAAATGAATAAAAGTTTTAAACAAAATAAAAATTCATAAAGTTTTAAACAAAATAACATAAATATAAATTTAATTCAACAATTTAAAAATAAAATTATGTGTTGATAGACTGCGATAACAATTTTAAATATCTTAAAACCTTAAAAAAAAAATGTCAGCTACTATTATACCCTTAATAATTTACTACTGAACTGCTGTATAAATTGTGTAAATAAAATACTATTAAATTCTCTATTACATAAATAACATATATGCTAAGCATGATGCTTTCAGAGCAAACTGACAAAAATAAACAAGAAGATGGAGAACATTTGTCAATACTTCCCTTTTTAAGACTAGCTAAAACGTTTGTAAATTGAATATCTGAATATTGCTATTAGTGATGTACCGATTGCACATTTTTGGCCGATGCCAATGAATAGTTAAAGGCTGATGTCGACACCGCTGGATTAACTAATTATTAAATTTTTTAAAAATATAAAACCATACAATTTTAAGTTGTGTTTTTTAAATTCATTAAGTTAATTTTTTCAAGAAATCATAACTGGTAAACAAATACTTGGATCCAAATCAGATCCAAACCTATATTTTAAAAGCTATTAGAAAACTTCAGTTAAAATCATATACATTTTTTAAATTTTCAAGTCTAAAAAACTATATAATGCAGGGTAAAAATATTAAAATGCCATCAGTTGGAGAATCGGTAAACTGATTTAAAAAGGCCGATTAAGCTGATGCTGATCAATCAGAACATCACTAACTACTATCAAATAATATACACATTTTTATTATAGATTAAAGATAGATTGGTATGTAAAAAAGATTTGATGCCTGTGGAAGCACCACATCTTTTTATAAAAGTGTTTCCTTTCTTATTTCTTCAAAATTTATTGAAAACGATAAAACCGCTCTTGATACACGCTACAAATATACCATTCATGGAACGCAGTACCAATCCAATTTTTACCTTTACAAAACTTTTAGAAAATATGCAAAAACATGCTATGAATAACTGAGATATATAATGTTGGATAAATTTAAAAACCACATCAAAATAATTTTAAATAAAAATTTTATTTTCTAAAATATTATGCAACAAATTATTTGTTGAAAATAAAATCTGATTCATTGTTGATGTCTTTTAATCTTTTTTTTCTTCCCCGACGATCACTACCACGATCCCGTGAATTGGTAAACCACTTTGATAGTTCTGCCTCGATTTGCTTTTTATTTGCATCTAGAGTAGTTGCATTAACTTTCACGCTACCTAGAAAAAAGAACTTTATTTCAGACAATAATACCTAGAAGTACACATGATATAAATGTAAATACTAAATAAGTTTAGATAACAAAAAATAACTAATTCATGATTGGTTGGTTTAAAAAAATCAATGCTAGCCCACCAAAAAGTTATAGATCTCTGCTCAGAAATTGGAATCATTTTGATTTTGACCATTTTATGGACAAATCAAAACAAATGAAATTGGACAAGCTAGATTTTACACACACTTACGTTGTGAGCAAAAGGCAAGCAAAAATATTTTCCATCCTTTTCTTAAAAAAAAAAGAAGATGGAAAAGAAAGAATAATGAATCCCAGCCCCTTAATCCTTTGATATATATATATATATATATATATATATATATATATATATGTGTGTATATATATATGTGTGTGTGTATATATATATATGTCTGTGTATATATATATGCATATATATATATATATATATATATATATATATATATATATATATATATATATATATATATATATATATATATATATATATATATATATATATACATATATATATATATATATATATATATATACATATATATATATATATATATATATATATATATATATATATATATATATATATATATATATATATATATATATATATATATATAAACATATATAGACTCACTGAACAGAACTTCACATATATTCAATGTTTAAAAAGGTTGCTTTTGATTTTGTCCAGTAAGATTTAATTTTTTAGAGAGATCATTGCCAAGAAGAAATTTCATTGATCGTTTTATAAAATCGGAAAGATCAATTCCACCTATATCAGCTATCACTTTAATCTACACAAAAAGTCTAAAATTAGTTAATAAATATTAAAAAAAATAGTTATATATTTAATGAAAAAATTATAATAATGAAAAAAAATCTACATATTGAAAACATCTACTTTTTGTAAACATATTTTACTAACCATACTTCTTCACTAGAGGATCTATCAACTTCTGATCCATTACTAGTAGATCCTCATATGTTAAAATAGGTAATTTTATATCCTCTGGAAGCTGACATAAACTTGCATTTATACCTCTGTCTTGTTGCACTAGGCTTTGCAAAATAGCAGAATGAACTTTTAAAGTTTGTTTTATGTCTTCAATTTGTGTCAAAATTGCAGTTAATATTGTGTTAGTCTGACTAGTACTTGCAACTATAAATTATCAAATAAACATTTTTTTTGAAAACCAAAATTTTGATAACTTTGAGTTATTAATAAGTCAGTGTTGATTAATAAGTCAGATAATGAAAAAAGTCAATAAGTTAATGAACTTGTTTATAATATTTATTATAAACAATTTCATTAACTTATTGACTTTTTTCCAAGTACTAAAATAAAAAAAAAGATAAACTATTATCCTGGTAATTTTTTTTCATTATCAATACATTTTAGTTACATAAAAAGCATTAACAATTTTTTTTAGTTACATAAAAAATTGGCTTTACAATAAATAAAGGAAAAAATATATAAACTTACAGTTAGCAGAAGAATCGAATGTTGGCATATATGTCTTATTTTCAAGAACAGTTGCTAAATTAATTGCAACTAGCATAAATCACAACATACGTTCAAAAAAAATAAAGATAAAACTTATTACTCACTATTATGACGAGTAATTTCAATATCACAATCATTCCAATCAGATTGATTGAAACTATCAGAACGTTTTACTGATAAAAATGAAGGAGGAACTGGCTTAGGTATAATTTGAATTGGAGATTTTGGTTTAGGTAAAGAATAAGATTTTTCTACATGTTTCATTTTTTTGTGCACATCAATAACTTTCTTTTTCCTAATAAACAATATATATATATATATATATATATATATATATATATATATATATATATATATATATATATATATATATATATATATATATTATATAACTTATATATTATTAACAATAACATTGCTTATAAAAGATTACTTTTCAATAAACTCTTCGCTGCAATCAGATTCAACTTCACTTTTGTCACTTTCATCAGCTTGTATAATATTTATTCTAAATAAAATATTTAAACTAATTAATAAATAATTTGAGTAGACAAGTAAAGTGTACACAGCAGCATATGTAAACACACACTGGTATAAAGATATGGCAAATGGTATTACAAAGACAATTGTATTACAACCCTAACCCTAACCCCTAACCCTAACCCTGACCATAACCCTGAAAGGACATAAATTAGTGAAAAAAAGCAGTCTGTTAGCTCGCAGGGTGACCAGACAATTATGAGTTACAAAAGAACTAACTTCAGCGCTTGAAATAACGGCCCATCAACGATCAATCATCTGCTATTTTTAGAAAAATTTCAAAAAATTTAAAGGAAAATATCCTGTTTTTGTGAAAAAATTACATTTGATCGGCAAGCTTTGAAAAATTATTTCTAGCGCTGAATTTAGACTACAAACATGTTCACCATTTGTGGGATAATAGGGAAGCTCACTTCCTTGTTTACTAATTTATAGCTGCTATGTGCTTCAAAAACATTTAGTACACTTTTTGTAAACTTCACTAACAAAATTTTATGGAACTCACCTTCTTTGCTTTATACTATTTTCAACTTCGAGGTTCGAAGTGTCTTCAGCCAATATTGCTTTCTGACGAGCCTCATAAAGTGAATCTAAAACAACTTTTTTTTTTAGTAATAATGATTGTTTATGATTTAGATTGACTTTGATAGACTTGGTTAATCAGTTTAAATAAATGACAAAATTCAAATTTAAATACTGATAACTTGAAAAATAATCTACATCACAAAACAACTTTATTTTTTAACCATATATAAGAGCCATGCAAAAAATATATATATATATATTTTATATAATTATAAAAACAAACAGTTACCAGCAGTAGACAAAATTCGTGCTTTATAAGTGGGCCAATTCAAATCGGCCTCTAAACACCGACTTTTTGCCTTAGAAATACTTTCTGGATTTTTTAGTGGAGGCCAGTAAAACTCGACTATATGATGCTTTTTAATTCGCATAGGAATATCACTCATTAAGGTACCATCAGCAATCCAGTTTAATGGAAGAAAATCCGTTTCATTACTTTCATCAAATGAAACAATTGCATAAGACATTTTAATCTAATAAAATAGGCATCACAATCAACCATAGCATAATTTTTATAAAGTGGTCAAGTTTAAAGAGTAGTACACTATGTAATAAACAGGAATGTAACAAACAAGTATTTATTTATTATTAGGGTAAATACTGCAGTATTTACCCAAAGTTATTTGAGTAGCTACTACTCTTATAACTTTTGATGCAGTATACTGCAGCAAAAGTTTTAAAAGTAGTACATGCAAATGCATATATCCATTTATACTATAGTATGTAATACAAAGGATGCAACAATTTAAAAATATGTAATAAAAAAAGTAGAACACAAATAAAAAAGCAAGTAAATAAATTTCATAAAATTTTATTAAAGTTAGTAAAGATGCATTTGAGGAATAATTACAAATCCATTTTTAAATGGTAACTGTACATATTTACAATCTAAATCTGCAATTGGAAAAATTGAATTAAAACAGGATAACTTCTCTGCAAAAAAAATTGAAAGTAAGTCAGAGTTCATTGGATCTGTAAAAAACGGTTGTAAAAGTTCATACTTTTGAAAAACAATATAAGCTTCATTGCACTCGCTATTTGGAACTTGTAAAAAATTTCTTATAACACCAACTTTCCCGTTTACTTTAAAACAATCATTAATTGAAGCAAAAAACTTAGCACTATTATATTTCTTAAATTGTAAACAGTGACGATATGATAAGGGAACTGGACCTTCAGTGTGAAGCTTTTTAAAAACACTTTTATTTTCATTACAAACTTGATTAGGTACGTGAGTAAAAATTTCAAATTGTCTAAATATTCTACTGTTATATATCATTGGAAAGAGAATCAATACAGTATTTTAAAGGTGAAAAAATTTTAAAAATCGAACATTTGGTTCAAAAGTTATGACGGTTTAAGTACCGATTTTTTGATATATGGAATTGTTGAAGAAACTGTGGTCAAAATTATGTTTTTCCTCACTTAAATTGTCATAACTTTCTTAATTCTTATCAAAATACAAATATCTTGGTGTCAAAAGATAGGTGTGAGAGTGGGCTACAAATTTTTGTTGAACTCTAACCACCGGGTGTATCGGATGGACAGAGGGGGCACCAAACCACTACCTTACCCTAATGAAACTGAACATTTTTTTCAGAAAAAAAGTTTTTTTTCAAGACATAAGTAATTTAAATATACAAAAAAAGTTGTTATAAAATTATATTAAACCACCGATTATATGAGAGGCGTATGTTAACGATGGAGGTGGGTGCGGTGGTGATGGTTTGATACACCCTAGCATCAAAAATAACTTGTTTTCATTAAAATTTTTATCTTTACTACATTGAAATCAATAGTATACATAATAAAACTATATTTTACAGGAATTCAAATACACAACTTGCATTGATGTACGGAAGGGGCGTGTAACCCCCCCCCCCCCCAACCTAAAAAATAAAAAATAAAAATAGATAACAGAGAGACAAGTTAAAAAAATATAAAACTCAAAATTTAAAATCATACTACATAGTAAACCCTACCAGTTGGAACAGATGAAGATGTCACTTAAAAAGAAATAACAAAGCATTTTACATAATCTTAAAAATAAATTTTATTTAAACTCATATTGCAGAGTTGAAACATATACACTAACCAGTTGGAGTAGATGATGATGGCACTAAAAAAGAAATAAGAAAGCATTATATACAATCTTAAAAATAAGTTTTATTTAAAATCATATTGCAGAGTTGAATCATATATACTAACCAGTTGGAGTAGATGATGATGGCACTAAAAAAAAATCAAGAAACATTTAACACAATCTTAAAAATAAATTTTATTTAAAATCATATTGCAGAGTTGAAACATATATACTAACCAGTTAGAGCAGATGATGATGGCACTATAAAAGAAATAAAAAAGCATTATACACAATCTTAAAAATAAATTTTATTTAAAATCATATTGCAGAGTAAAACATATATACTAACCAGTTGGAGTAGATGATGATGGCACTAAAAAAGAAATAAAAAAGCATTTTACACAATCTTAAAAATAAATTTTATTTAAAATCATATTGCAGAGTTAAAACATATATACTAACCAGTTGGAGTAGATGATGATGGCACTAAAAAAGAATTAAAAAAGCATTTTACACAATCTTAAAAATAAATTTTATTTATAATCGTATTTCAGAGTTAAAACATATATACTAACCAGTTGGAGCAGATGAAGATGCCACTAAAAAAGAAATAAAAAAGTATTTTACACAATCTTAATAACAAATTCTATTTAAAATCATATTGCAGAGTTAAAACATATATACTAACCAGTTGAAGTAGATGATGATGGCACTAAAAAAGAAATAAAAAAGCATTTTAAACAATCTTAAAAATAAATTTTATTTATAATCATATTGCAGAGTTAAAACATATATACTAACCAGTTGGAGCAGATGAAGATGCCACTAAAAAAGAAATAAAAAAGTATTTTACACAATCTTAATAACAAATTCTATTTAAAATCATATTGCAGAGTTAAAACATATATACTAACCAGTTGGAGTAGATGATGATGGCACTAAAAAAGAAATGAAAAAGCATTTTACACAATCTTATTGCAAATCATATTGCAAAGCAAAAATATACAACCTTACCAGTTAGATCAGTGGAAGGTGGAACTAAAAAATTGAAAACATAATACAAACAAAAATCTTTAAATTATTTTGCTTTTAAAAAATGCTGCAAAATTATAATATATTTATTCTTACCAGCTGAAACAGATAATGGTGGTACTAAAAAAAAAAATCATAATAATTTATTATTTTCATAATTACCTTGCTATGAAAGTCTTATTACAAAGTTAAAATAAATAAACTTACCAGTTGGATTAGTATAAAATATATTCAGGCTTGGTCGGGAAGCGGGAGCGATCGCTCTCGAATACTGACCACGGAAATTATATTTAGTTGCGTAAAACTGCCCAGGTTTTTTAGTCGTTTTGAGAACATTTAAGTTTATGTACGAAACAAAAAATTTTGTTTTACGGACATACATGGAAACATAAAAAACTTGAATGTTCTTAAAACATCTTTGTGCGAAAGAATAAAAAGAACTAATTCTATTGGTTCAAAAAATACGCTGATTAAGTGAAATAAAGTTCTAGAGTATTCTGTTAAAATGTTTTAGAAATTGTATTATTCACGATTTGTTACGTTTTGAGATTTTTAGCATCGTTTTAAGAATTTATATTATTTGTTTACGAAAATAAATGTTTTAAATATATATTAGTTAAATTGTTAAAATTTTCAAAGTTTATTATAAATCATAGATTTTATTAGTATATTCTTATTTTTTATTTTAAAAGAGATTGTATTCTTTAAGTAAATGTAATTTTGTGTATTTATTTTTTATCGTAATGTATCTTTTAAAGCAATTTTTATGATTTAAACAAAGACTTACAAAAATAATTGTGTTTTTAATGAAGTTTTAATCGTTAAAGTTAATAAAACTAATTATGTAACAAACATATAAGAAGTTTCTGGTTACTAAACACAAACAACGCATACAAAGTAACTCGCGGATGAACAAGCATCGCGCCTGAGGTCACGACAGAACACAAATATATATAGCAAATAATTAGATATAAAGAAAAATTTCTAGATATTAATTTACTAACTCTAATTATTTTTGTTTAAGTTGCCATTCTTAAAACTCGTTATACTTTTTTCTGCTTTAAACACTAATTAAAATTTAAAAGCCCACTCACTAAACATCATCAGCGATATTGTGAAGCAGTTTCGCTTCCTGGTCATTAAGTATTTTAAACCTTTTTAGTTGATTTCTATCTTGATAATTTAATTCTTATAGTAATTCAATGATTTAATTATTTCATTTGTTTATCTTACTTAGAAGAATCGCTTTAAATATGTTAAACTTTTCAAACTACGCGAAACATAAAATAGGTATTGAAAAAATTAACTTTTTTATTTATAAAATAAATTAAGCTTAAGTAAAACTAAAACTTGCAAACTTAGTTAAATAAAGAATATTTGTTTTCCTTTTAAACAATCTTTTAAGTTGACGGTTGTATGTTTCTATAAAAAGTTGATGTTTCTATAAAAAAAACATTGCTTAATTTTATAAAAAAAATTATAAAAGAGCGATGTTTCGAAAATATTTGTTTTAAATGTAATTTATTTAGCTTTAAATTTTTTCGCGTTTAAAGATATTTTATTTGCCTACTTTTTTTTTTTTTGTAATTGTCTCTCGTCGGTCCAATTAATCTTCGTCACTTTTTTTTTTTTGCTTTTTAAAATGTTCTCAAAACGACTAAAAAATCTGGCCAGCTTTTCGCAACTAAATATTATTTACGTGGTCAGCAATCGAGAGCGATCGCTCCCGCTTCCCGACCAAGCCTGTATATTATATGATTTTTTTTATTAAATCATGTTACAAAGTAAAAAAATACAATTTTTAAATAACTTTACAATATGGAAGCATATAATACACATACCAATCTTGAAGTTATTATTAAAATTTGAATATTAAAAATATATTAAAAAGTTAAAATAAAAAAACCTTACCAGATAGAGCAGCTATAGATGATACTTCAATACTGCAATAATACACAAAATCAAACTATATTTCTCAATACTTAAACATAAAAATACACCTTAATCTCTTACCAATTAATGAAGTAAGTGTTGCTAAAGAATTAAACGGAAAAAATAGTAACAATAGTAATAACAATAGTTTACTAAAATAAACTTAATTTCAAGTTACACTTTTCGTTACATCTTTAGTTAGCGTGTGTCAATAGAGTAAACAGCTTTAACGTGTATCAATTATATAATAATCTTAGCATGAATCATTAAACTATACTATTGAAATCGTTAAAATTTACTAAACTTACAAATCTGCTGTCTGAATTCGCATAAAAGCCAATTTAAATATACTAACTTTATTATAAAATTAAATTATCAGACTAACTTTTAAAAAAAAAAGTTCAAATGACTAAATAACTAAAATAGTTCAAACTTTACTTACTAATAGTTTGTTCTAAATTGTCTATAGAAAAAAAATATCAATGACTCAATAAAAAGCAAGAAATAATCAGGAATATACAAAATAAACAACTGTGAAAAAACTTTGTGGATGCACAAAAATCGGTACAAAACACATAGCATAATAAAGATATATAACTTAATATTGAGAGCAAAAGACTAAATACTAAAATAATAAATCGCCAAAAAAAACTGACTTATCCTCTCAAAAGCATTATCTAAACAAAAAATGAAAAACTTTTTTTAGCAAAATAATACAAACATTTGAATAAATCTACTGATCTTAAGTTAAAAGAAACTAATGAATATTTAATGTTTAAAATAACTAACTGATATTGTTGGCTGCTGCCGTAGGACTGCTTTGGGCAGCTAAACAATATAACAAATGTTCTTGATTATTTACGTAACATTTATTATACATAAAAGTTGAATAAGGTTGCTAACATATATTAGTTAAATATGACCATATTTAATTTATATTATTTGTTACAGTTGAAAGATTAACAGTTAATCATTAAAAAAAAAAGATGATTATCGTGCATCTTTTTATAAAAAAGTCTAGGTAAAAACTAGACTTTTTTCTCCAATAACAATTACAATATACTACTTACTGTTGTATCATGATGATACAACAAGACTCTCCAATAACAATTGTAATATACTACTACTAGTAGTAGTTTATTACAATTGTTATTGGAGAGACTAATTGTTGTATCATGATTATCATGATACAACAATTTTTTTAATGATTACAATGTAAGATAAAATATGTTATAATGTTACTAATATGTCAGTTACATTTTAAAAAAATTCAACTTTCAAGTAAGGAAACATTAAAATTCAGTTAAATTAAATTATTTGCCTTCAATGTAAAGTTAATAAGTTTCAATAACTTTACATTGAAGGCAAATAACTTTTTTAAAATTTTAATAAATAGGAAACAATATTGTAAACCTTTATCAACATCTTTATTTTCCATTTTATTTAATCTAAAAAAAACTGAAATTTTATTTAATCAGAATCAAATGTAAACAATGTTTATTTAACCCCTCTGTCACCCGCGACCACTTCAGCAAAATTGAAAATTAGGTAGGAAAAGTGCGACAAAAAATAGACACCCTGCTACAACTTTTTTTTCAATGAAATTTTCCAGGTGCATAGATAAATGAAAAACTTAAAAAAAAGAATAGTATAGAAAAAAAAAAGAACATACCTTCGACATTAATTTCATGCCCAAAGTACAACAAAGTTTTAGACATCAAAAAACTCAATAAAAAAGCCATCCAGTAAAATAATGAAGCTCACAGTAATAAAGATTAACTATTCTAGTTTCTAAAAATAATCTATAATGATATCAAATTCTAAAAAGTTTTTTAACTAAACACGTCTTCCCAACGCGAGTTAAAAAAAAGGTAAGCGAAAGATACTATGACCCACGAAGAGGAAATAAAAATATATTTTAATTATGCGAACTTTGTTATTACGTCATGCTAATACTAGTTAACATTGCGTGATCCAAGAAAACTAATCTAATGTTATTGTTTTCGTTTATTTCGCACGTGCTTCAAAAGTTTAAAAAAATGCATTTTTTTGTTAAAGTAGTTATAAGATTGGAAAGTAGTATTAAAAAGTGACTGAGGGAAAAAGGTCATTAAATAAAAATTAATTAACATATTTGTTATTGACGTTGCTAATCTGCTTTTTAAATAATAATCCTGTCTTTTTATATACAAAAGATAAAAAGGAAGTTTAACTTGCTATTGTGTGTACCTTTATACTTAATTTACTTTTAAATATTTGCTTACTTATATTTTTGAATTCATTTATTATTAGTATTTTAATGGTGCGTATAATGGCATTACACATGGTACTACTTAAGTAGTAACAACCACAAAATCTGAGCCTGCATATGCTTATAAACAATATGGTTGTATAAAAATAAAATCTAGTGAATAATACAGTATATATATATAGTTATTTAATATAAAAATAATATTAAACAATAACAATCAACCATTTAAAATACTGTTAAATAATACCAATAAACAGTATCAAGTAACATTATACCAATATATTGTATCAATTTACATTTATTTATATACCATGGTATATTAGTAAAAAATATTGAAATTAATATATCATATTGTACAATAAGTACTTATTGTACAATATGATATCAATTTCAATATTTTTTACTAATATACCATGGTTTATAAATAAATTTAAATTGATAAAATTTACAAAGCAATAAAACTTCAATGAAGTTTTATTGAGGTTTTATTGCTTTGTAAAAGATTCAAACCAAACTTTTGCTAAAGTTTAGTTTAAATTTTTTTTTCTTTTCAGAGATTGAAGATGTTAATAACAGGAATTTTTTATAGCTAAAAGAAAAAGTCATATAATTCTTTATGAAGATGAAAATGAGGCCTTGTGTTACATAAAACAATACGATTTAGAACACACTGTTCGCTTTGTAGCATGGTTTACACCCAAAGGATTTGGTAACACAGGTTTGAACCTTTTTTTGATTTATTTAATATCAACTTTAGATGCAAATGTTTGAGTTTAAGTTGTCACAAAATTCTTTAACACAAACTTTCCAAAGTAAGTGAAAATAGTTCAAAAAGTAAATAAAATACATTATAAAGCATGAACACAAAATAAGTGTGAAAGTAAAAAATTAGCTATAAAAAGGTACTCATTGACTTTTATTGGGAGCTAAGTATTTATTTTAATACATTACTATAAGAAGATAAAATATTTCAAAGAAATTAATTTATTCCTATGGATATCTAATAAAATTTCAAACTTTTGTTTTGGTGGTATACATAAGCTTGCACACAGATCAAAAATCAAAACTATTTGATGTTTTTTAAATAAAATTTTCAAATCTTTAGTGTTTCTGCATAGTTTATTTAATTTGTTTTTTATTTGTTGTCTAATGGTTACCCAGTACTTTGCAATAATTTTTAATACTAGGTAGTTAGAAGGATTTGCTAACTTAGAAAACTTTCAGGTTATTTTTTTATATACCATCTCATAGCCAGTTTGCTATAATGACTTGATGATAAATCAGGCCAGAATACATGTCTACTATCATGTGATTTTGTAGGAGGTAAAAGATGTTTTCGTTAACATGATTTAACATATATTATACCAAAAAGTGTGGAATAAGAAGTATAGGGTGCTGACTTTTTGTTATACCTGCAAATAGCTTGCGAAATCAAAGGATTTGCTGATGATCATACTATATATAAGTTTCATAATATTCAATAATTCAGAAATTTTTAGAAATATAGTTGTCATACAACTTTCTTTAGTGGATTCTTGTTTTTTTTTTTGAATTTTAGAACAGACAGATTTTGTAATATGAGAGCTTGAAAAGCATGATTATATCAAACTTTTATGACAAAACAATGAGAAAATCCTCATATTTTTGTGCATTCCATTAGTGAGTAGCTAATATTATTTAAAAAACTGGGAACCAGTTATTTAACTAGTTTTATATCTTGAAAAACCTCCTTTTCTCCATTACCAGATTTGCATTTGATTGATTTTGTTTAGGGAAAACATTAAATAACATGACTGACGTTGTAGAAATGTAATTGCAACTTTTTTGCTACTGAATTGTAGCTAAATTCAGATTTTTAATAAATTTTGTGCAAAGTATTTTTTTTGAGTGTCTTCTTCTTTCGCCATTTTTAAAACTTATTTTAAGTTAAATGAGAAAATTAAAAACCTATTTTGCAATCATTACATGCTGCCAGCAAAATACAAACACAATTAAAAATATATTAATACAAGCACTGAAAAAAAATTACGTATTTACTCTTTCACATTTATTTTGTGTACACGCTATAAATTAAAAAAAATTAAATGTCACATTTTCTCAGCTTTAAAATCATGTCTCTATCGTTTGCAATTACGTTACCATTTTTTTGCAGTTATTATTTTTGCTTCTCCTTGAGTAAGAAATTTTTGTAATTATTTTTTATCCAGTTTAAAAGCTTGTTTAAAAGAAGTCTGCCATGAACTATTTAATTTTATTAACTAAAAATTAAATAGTTCATGGCAGACTTCAATCTCAAACTTCAAACATTTTTCTCAAATTTTCTATAAACCAAAATTACTTTCTTTGATGTAAAAAATTTGATGTAAATGTAAACAGTGGCTTCAAAATATAATATTCCAATACATGATAGTAAAAGTTATACAAATAAGCTACTGCTCTAAATCGAACATTTAAAAATTGTTAATATTTAAATTTAATTGCATTGTCATACTTTATTTCAATTTCTTTTCATATGGTTCTTTGTAAAATGGTTCTACTTTACTAGAATTTGTAAGTGAATGTTTAAATTATTAATTGTTTACTGTAAATTCAATGTTTCTCATTGAAGTTTGGTTAGCTTATTATATCATTTTTTGTATAAATGCTTTCAGTGTAAAGCAGACCCTGTCACATTTAGATGTACATAGTGAAAATCATAAAGTTTTATGGGAAACTGAAGGATCTTATGCAGAAGTGCCTTTCATAGTTTTAGCACAGAAAGTTTTAGATTGTTCACATGGTACAGATCGCAATAATGCAAGAAAAAAAACATACAAGGATAAAACAAAAGCAAAGGTAAACTTCATTGTTTATAACACTTTTATTCTAAGTTGTAGTTTTATAAAAAATATTTAACTTACTAAAGTATTGCTGGAATAATTTTAGAAAACTGAACACTCTGAACACTCTAATGTCAAAAAAGTTATTTTAGTGTGCAAGACACAAAAAAATTCCAATGTCCAGCACAAGTTTCTATGAAGGAAATTATATATTTCAAAGATTATAAGGTATTTTCTAAACAATTTACTCTAATTGATAGAAATTCGTACATCCATGTAAATAGTTTGAAAAAAATTTATGACTTTTAGAACTGTTTCTTTAAGAGCTATATATTTAGAGCCACTTATTGCATCTTTTTTATTTTATTTATCATCTCCTAATTAAAAGCTTACAGAACCCACAGAATGGAAAAAGAGAATTACCTCTTTGCAAATAAGAAATTTGTTAAAAGTAAAAGGTGATATTGGTATGACTAAGAAGAAAATTATGCTTATTGTAGATGACATTTCAGAACATAGAAACCATGCGGTTGGAGAAGTAAGTTATTTTTATTTTTTAATATATTTATGCTGTGTTATGGTGGATTAAAGTAATTAAATAGGTAAATTTAGCAATGTAATGTATTTTAGCTAAATGACAAAATATGTCTTTGTTATTCTTCTTTATGTAGCTTGCTGGTATTTCACAGGAAATAGATCCTAGGTTATCTAAAAAAGTTATAAGTTATGCTAATGAAATCAAAAATGTTTTAGAAATGAGGCGTCTATTAAAAATCTTTGTAAGAAATGACCTGTTTGATAAAAGTGATATGCCTGATATAAATAATAGGCAATTTTTTCCAAGCAACAATATTATTCGAGTGCATATGGTTGCAGCACGAAAAAAAATACAACTTTCTTTAATTGATCAGGAATGCCTTCTTAATAAAATTAAGGCATGACAAAAAGATGATCCATCTGTAAATATTTTTTTTCGCCCTAAAAACAACTTGAAAAAAAAATGATGCAACAGATACAATAATTCAAAATGAAATTAATGAAGATAGTACTGAAACAGATGAGGACCTAAAGTTTACTGAAAATGATTCTAAAAACTCACTTTTATTTGTTTATCAATCAGAATGGCAATGCAAACTTGTGCGTCGATATGGAAATGAAATGCTCTTATTAGATGCAACTTATAAAACAACGAGATATGTTTTACCCGTTTTCTTTTTAGTAGTCAAAACAAATGTTGACTACTAAATAGTTGGGTGCTTTATCACTGAGAACGAAACAAAACGAGCAATATGTGAAGCTTTGCGTGTTTTCAAAAGAAGGAATGTGAAACTTTCTCCATCTTTTTGCATGACGGATTACTGCAATGAGGAAATTGATGCTTTAGAAGAAATTTTTCCTGGTAAGTTTTTTAGATAATTAGTATGAAAAAAGTTTCTCAGGGATAGAAATACATTATTTTAATGTACTATATTTTGAATCTATATAATTTGAAAACCCCTTTAAACTGGATGGGTTTTGAAACCCATCAGTAATCTCCTCTCCTTAATTCAAGCTGTTTTTAATATTTGTGGCATAATCTGTTTTATAATGATTGAACTCTTTGATTAAATTTTTTAAGTTTGTGAAAAAATATTAGCATGAATTAATTTCTTATGTTTAAAAACATTTATTACACACTTTGGTGAAAAAAAATTAGGCAAAAATATGTGCAACAACTTTAGAGACGATTTAAGGTGGTACAACACTAAATATTTTCTAAAAAATAAAAAAAAAAAAGTGAAATTTTGATATTTAGCTCATTTAGAAGGCAAGTTATTGTAGATTAATAATATAAAAAGCTAATTCCCATCTTATTTTTTTATTTTTAGATAAATAAACTGGCTAAAATAAGTTTGTATAGGAATCACAAGAGTATTTAATCTTGTTTTGTGTTTTTCTCCGTTTTCTAATTTTTCTAAATATTGTCTGATTTTCAACATGATATCTTTTGAAGCAGAAGTGCAAATCACTTCAAACTTTCAGGACATGCTTATTATACTATTTTCTATGAAGTAACATTTCAAAATTTTTAAATTCTGCTCCAATCTCTTTATATTTGGTTTTATATTCTAAAATAGTTTTTTTCATTGCTTGATGTAAAAAAAAGTGATACAATTTTTTATGTAGTTTGAAAATCTTAAAATCCAAATGTCAATACCTTACCTTACTTGTCTAGAACATATGTGAAAAATTTCATGGATTTTTTATTAATATGTTTCAAGTTATCATGTTTTGAATGTTTTTCGATAAATCTGAGGCAAAGTAATCGTGTAATGAAGTATAAAATAGCATTCTAAATTAATGTAATTTTCATTGATATAAATTTTTTTTTTAAGTTTGAATGTTTTTATATATTTGGTGGTTGGCACCTTAATAAATTAAAATTTATAATATAATAGTAAGGCTTGTAAATATAAAGCTTTTTTAATGACACCAAATTCTTGTTGTTGATATAGATTTATAAGGTTATAAAAAAAAATCTAGAATTACTGACTTTTTTTGTAACTATATTTAACTTTCAATAAAAAAAAATCCCTCCAATTTGAACCTTTATTTCTCCCATTAACATTCGATTTAATATATTTATACATATATTTAAATTCGATTTATACAGTAGTATAGTAAAAATTATGCTGTTATGAGGAATAGTGGAAAATAGATTTGTTAAAATTTCTTTAATTAGATTTGTTTGTGAAGTAACTAATTCACATTTTTTGCTCAGGTTGTAAAGTTTTGATTTGCGACTTCCATCGTGAACAGGCCTGGGAGCGTTGGATAGTAAAAGTATCAAACGGTTGTGCTGATCAAAAAGCAGATATCCTCCAAAAGCTAAGAAAGATTTCTCATTCAACAAATGTTGATGCAATGGAGTTAGCTATTCTGGATTTAAAACAGTCTGAATATTGGAGTAATGAAAGATTTTCAAAGTTGAAAAAGTATATAGAGACTTATTGGTTAACAATTATTGAGGTATTATATCATTAAATATTTTAATTAAAAATAGATTCTTCCTGAAATTTATGTCCAAAAATGAAGCAGGAAATTATTCTGTTATTCTGTAGCATAATAAAAAGCTATATAATTTATTTTGCATTTTACACTTTTTAGCGTTGGGTTTGAGCATACCGTCAAAACAGTGTACTAGTGAATTTAAACACAAATAATGGAGTCGAAAGACAAAATAAATCATTTAAATATTCTTATCTCCAACAATTTAATAGTTCTTCATTAACTGGAATGCTAACTATCTTAATTGAAGAGTTTTTTCTAGATAAATACCAAAGGTTTTTTGATGTCACATTGTGCAACAAATTGTTTTAAGTTTTATTATTTATTCCTTTGCTCTTTTTTTTTTAGCTATATTAAAAAAACTTAAAAATGGATTATAGATATCGTTGTTATGCAAAGATAATACCAAGTTTCCTAATAAATCGACCTCGTGAAATGGTTACACATTGCCTTAAAAAAATCTGTCTTGCTGAAAGCTTTGATTTAGGTAAGGTATCAATGATAAATCATGGTATATTCTCCATTAAAGGTGTTACAGTAAACTACCAAATTGATTTTGGAAATGATAGTAATATGCCAAACTGCACATGCTCTTCATGGCGTTTATCTTGTTATCCATGCAAGCATTTTTTTGCAATTTTTAGAAAGTTCCCACTCTGGCAATGGGATGCATTACCACTAATATATTGCAATTCACCATTCCTAACATTAGACAATGAAGAAATTCATTTTCAAAATGAGGAAGTTACATCTAAAAAAGACAAATGTGACACTAATTTTACCAATTCTAAAAAGCTAGTAGAATCAGAAGAAATAAATGAAGAAAACATTTGTAGTAATAGTTTAAATAAAGAAAGCGTTTCTGCTGGGAACTGTAGAGAGCTACTTAATGTAATTAAAAATCAATTAATATAATGTAAATAAAAATAATAAATATAATGTAAATAAAAATGTTGATGTTTTTGAAAAAGTATATAGTCTGCTAATGGAGGCGTCTAAGCTTTTAAATGAAAACACTACCCATGAGAGTGGAATACCTATCAGTCAGCAGCAGCCTGCTAAATACTGTCACATTTTAGATTTGCCAAAAAGGGGTAAAAAAAATGTTTTATTCAAGTCGTTGTGGAATAGCTAAGGACAAAAAAAAAGCTGGAGAAAAGATAAAAATTACAACATTAGACTGTCCTGTTGTCAATGTTGAAGAGGAAGTTATCATAGAAGACATGGATCTAGATGGTCTGACTTCATTTAATTGTAATGTACCAAATAAACATTTAACGCCAAAAGAAGAGTTTGAGAAAATGATTGCAATAAAAGACAACAGCCAAGAACTATATGTTTTGAACCTTTGTTGTCCTATCACCAGACAAGGCATAAGCACAATTTGTAATAATGAAATGCTAACGGACAACATAATTAATGCTGCACAAAAAATGTTGTTACAACAATACCCAAATACTAAAGGTCTGCAAGATCCTATTCTTGGACAAAACCTAAGTTTTGCAATTTTAAAAAATGAAGAGTTTGTCCAAGTGTTACATGATGGGTGTGCTCATTGGTTTGTGATCAGTACTGTAAGGTGTGAACCAGGGCATGTCTTTGTTATGGATAGTCATTTTACAGGTAAACTTAGCCATGCCACTATGAGACAGATATGTTCCATAATTCATTGCCAATTAGACAAAATAAAAGTTACAATTTTGCCCGTTCAACAGCAAACAAATGGTATTGACTGCGGAATATATAGGAACCCTGACGGAACCCTAACCCTGACTTTACAGTACCTGTTATATTTTAAGGACTATCCGACGAAAATAAATTTTGATGAAACAAAGCTTAGAAAGGAGCTGCTTAACTCTTTCCAAAGCAACTTTTTAAGTTTATTTTCAACTACTGAAAAGACTGCCAAACGGAATGTACAAAAGGAAATAAGTTTAGATATATACTGCACTTGCAGAATGATTTGGGTTCCATCTGATAAAAACATCTTTGGAAAGTTAGCATTTTTATCATTTTATTATGTTATAAGGTTTTTATATTTATTATCTTATACAATAATAATTTTAAATAATAAAATTACATATTAATAAAACTGGCTTGAATTAAAATATAATTTGAGTAAATTTATATCATATAAAAAGTATAAAAGTAACCAATACATTAAATTAGAATGTTCATTGTTGATAGTCATTGTTGTAAATATATAAATTAAATCATTTTAAAAATAATTAGTTTGAGTTTTTTAAATCAACTACAATATAAATACGACAAAATAGCATGTTGTTACCAAATACAAGCAAGTATTTCAATCCAACCCTTATTAAACCCCTCAAGCTTGTTGATGGTTAACTATATTAAACTATATTAAAATACTTAACTATATTAAAAGTCATTATTTTAAAATGATACTTTATTTTTTAGACACATGGTTGAATGCTCAGGTTGTTTGCAGTGGTTTCACAGAATGTGTGAAAGAATTTCCGACGATGTTCTTAATAATAATGATATAAACTGGTATTGCTCCATGTGTGAAAAGATAACAAATACAAATTGAAACTTCTCTATTCCTTTTTTTTATAACCCATACTTTAAAAAATTATTTTCTTTCTGATACTTACCCTTTATATCATTAAGGAACATCTATTGGTAGTAAGCGAATAATAATGATATAATGATGATAATGATGATATTGATGATGATGAGGATGATGTTGATGATGATGATAATGATGACAATGATGATGATGATGATGATGATGATGATGATGATGATGATGATGATGATGATGATGATGATGATGACGATGATGATGATGATGATAATGATGATGACAATGATGATAATTTATTTTTGTGCCAATTGCATTTATTAATTGTGTTATTTATAAAAAAAATGACTTAAATCAGTTAAAAAAGTATTGCTTTATATATATATATATATATATATATATATATATATATATATATATATATATATATATATATATATATATGGATATATTTGTTCATTAAATTATGGAAACGGACGGAAACTAAGTGTTTTCTGTAGACAAAAAAAGTAATCTCCTCAATATATTTCCTCAAGAAAACACAATTCTTTGTCATGGTAAAAAAAAATTATCACAGTTATATTGTAGCAAGGAAAATTTAGCAGCATTTGGTATTGTAATAAATAAAAAAAATGTATGGTATTAAATAAATTCATGTCTAAATATTTTTAGGTTTAATAAAAGGCAAGTAATGAAACCATTTTAGGTTTCATTACTTGCCTTTTATTTTATTTTTTATTTTAGTTCCTTTAAAATATTTTTAAATAATTAATGTAAACTTCCTGTTAATTGCAATTTATTGAGAGCTTTTGGTTGTTAGCAACAAATTACTGTGCCAATACCTTTAAAGCAACAGATAATTAACGGGTATTGTATTTTTACTTTTAATTGTGTTGTTGTAAATTAGAAATTGTTATTCAGCTTTTTAAAGCCTTATTCAGTTAGCAATAAATCAAATGTAATTTTTTTAATCAGCTTGATTTTTTAGAATATGAACAGTAGTACGTGTTCCCAAGATAATTGTATACAGAAACAGTTAGCAGTTGAGTCAAAATTGAATTAAATTTTTCAGGTTTGTTATGCTTCAGCTTTTTGTTGTGAAACCATTAAATCTTTTCATATTAATTATTCATATTACAATAGATAAAAATCTTTTCTTCTGACATACAAAGTCGACTCACAACTCTTGCATCTTTTGAACTACGATTACAAATGACTGCTTCAGAATGCTGGTGCTTAATTTGAAAAATATTTTCAAAACAAAATATAAGCTTGTTTCAACAAAATTATTCTGCAAATTTTTATATGATTTTACAAATGATTGGATCAATTTTCTGTAAACAAAATTATGTTTCATATGTTAAGGAGATTTTTTATTGTGCAAAATCACATTCTGCTCATATTGAGATTTATGCTTAATGGCAGTCAAGATTTAAGTAATTAATTACAAAATGAAATTGTAGAAAAGGAGGGTAGGTTATATTATATGTTTTTTTATGAGTAATTTTGGCCTTTCTTTGTGTGGTTCTTTTTTACTTATTTAGACCATATCATCAAGAACTTGTTGGTCGAGAGAATTGCGAAGTGCATCCCACGCATTTATGTAAGCAGAATCTGTTATGCCTTTATATATGCTGTTATATTCGCGGATCCGAAGAAATTGAGACAAAACAATTTTGGCATTATAATGGTGCTATATTTGCTGTTATGTTATGGCGTTATGATATGGTGTTAAATTTAAAGATATTTGCTGTTATTTTTACTGATGATTATGCATTAATACTTGCTGTTATATTTGATGTCACATGTGACAGCAAATATATCAGCAAAATATCATTGCAATAAATAAAAAATTTTGAAACTGGCACATTAATTTTAAAGCGGTATCACGAGATGGCAAAAGTGAAAGGAAAATGAAATGAAAGCAATTAAAGTTAAGAAAAATCTGAAATAGTTATTGCTATCAGCAGTAATTTTTTTGTATTTTGTGCAGCTGGTAGGTTTATTTAATTTTTATTTAATAAAGATCTTGCAGAAAATGTAATGAAATTTATCTGTTTAAATTCATTGTGTTATTGAGTATTTACAATTTAAATTGAAAGTTATCATTAGAAAACGCTCATGCATCCAGTTATAACTAAATAACGTGCATTTTATTTAAAAACAAAATCAAGTGTTGTATCATTTCAAATCAAAATCTAAAAATACCTTATAAATTTCTTCAAACTGTTAAAATAAAATTACAGAACCAAAAAGTTTGTGACTTCTTTTTTAGTATAATGGTTTGAATTAGTAGTAAAGATGATTGTCAATGATGCCAAGTTATATTTACATTGTTTTCTATTTTAGCTCACGAAACCTTCAATTTGTCTATAATTGAAGAAGTTAATTGGAACAGCTGTTACGTAACTGCTAATAGTTTTACTGCTCTTCTTAATGTACAAAAGAGCTTATGATTCAAGCTCCACATCTTGTATTGACAACAATATATCCAACTCACAACAAGTTAGGTTTCTATCTGATTTAAATAAAGCTGACACAGCTCAATCAACTCATGCCAAAAGTTCATCTATTTTAAATAATTGTGTAGATTTTGTGGTTCCACCAAAGAAAATAACTTAGAACTCAGAAAACCAATATATGGCTGGAGAATCTTGTATGAGTGTTGTGCAGCTTCCAGTTAGACAATTATCTTCATCAGTTATACAATATAGTGCATCTAAAAACATCTTCGAGACACCACGAAAGGTAATAAATTATAACTGTTCTATTTTTTATTGTAAAACTATAACTTATAGTTATATGCTTCGTAACTTAAAACTGCATGGTATATTTATAATGTCAAACATTTTACTATGTTTTTTTTTAGGCTTTAACAGTTCTTTTTGATTCTGATGAGGTTTCTCACTAAAGGACCTTTTTTAGTATATCTACTTTGAACTTTTTACACAAGTAAAAACAATGATATTTTTAAAGAGCACCTGAAAAATTATATTCTTCAGTATTCTCAAGTTGCTCTTCCTTCAGACAGTTGGCACTTCTTTTAAATTTTCAAAACTATTTGGAACCTTCGGTAAAAATTATTTTAATTACTCTACAATATTTGTTAGGTGTGTTTATGATGTATGCATATAGTGCTTTTGGTGTTGTTGTATATATAGTTTTTTAAAGATAAATACTCCTATGATTTGTTTTTAAGCCAGGCATCAAACATAATTAGGCAACTACGTTGGATAAAAATTAATCTAACTTTAAATGAATCTGCAAGTAGACAGTTTCAACAGGTTTATATTATAGATTCATTATCTAAAGCTGAATTAGCGCTTTCAGAAGACCAGATTATAAAGCAAAAACAGATTAAAAGCTGAAAAGAATAAAAATCATGAAATAGTAGCTGAAAAGATTAAAATCAAATCTTTAGTTATTTGTGTAGAATAGTAATGATTTATTCTGGTACAACAAAATCTTTTAAAATATTTAAACCGCTAATTTTAAAAAGGGGACATATCCTGAAAATATTCACTTAACATGTCCTCTTTTCAAATTAGCGGTTTATTTGGAAAATACCTGAGTTAAATTAAATTTCTAGAAATAGTAAAATTATAATTTAATTTGTTTGTTTTTTAAGTCTGATAATCTGCTCGATGAATTAAAGGTACCTGCAAAGTATGGTCCGCAAGTTCTGTATAACTTAACACAATATGGCGTTCACAGTAGATCAGGGTGTGAAATGATCAACACAGAGTTACGGACGGTTAAAAAGGTTTTATGCGTTATTGTTTGCATATACTATTTGTTAGACCTCGCTTATCCATCTTCTTTTTCACAACTGATGGGTCTTTTTCATGAGGTGTTGCTAAACGAATGCTTTGAAAAAAAATCAAAAAAGACTTGCTCTTATATTGCTCATATAAACAGTTAACTAAATTTTTTGATGTCTTTAAGTAACGCTAGTTGTTTTCTTTATTAATTTATTAAAATTTTTCATTTTATATTTAAGTTGTTACTTAAAGAACAAGTCGGGATATAAAGCTTTCATTGAAATAATTAATAATAATTCTGTAAAGTTTTGAAAATGTATTTATTGACACGTTTAAAAATATGAAACCTATTTCTTAGTTTGAGCAGTTACATAAAAATTTATTAGTAGATTCTTATCATTGATATAAAATTAGTTTTTACAAGGTATATTTGCGGTGTTCTATTTACAATTATGTTAAAAGTGATTTTATTTCGTCATTGTATAATATTTTGTAATATATATTTTACGCCTTAATAATCTACATCAAACTACTACATCAAACTATTGTTATTATTTAGATATATGATTTACGCGTATAAATGGTTAGTTTAGATTTTATTTGAATAAAAACTAAACATGTTTAAAAAAATATATCGGCAAATTATGGCGTTAGCTTGATTTTCGAATATAACGCCATATATAACGCCATTGGAGAGCGATATAACTGCATTTTGCTGTTATATTATTATTTAAATTTATATAACAGCATTTTGCTGATATTTGACTTAATATAATGGCATAAGGTAAAAATCTAACACCATAATGACACAAAATAACGCCATTTATGCTGTTATATCCTATCCCAATGCTGTTATACTTTTGTTTAATATAACAGCATAATTTTTTAGTGTGTACTTTATTCGAGAGTTAAAATATATATTAGTAGACGTACAATAATAGTTAATAATACAGTAAGGAAGTTTTACTCAATCCGCTGTCTTAAAATAAAGAAATACTCTCTATTATTCTTACAGGCATTTAATATTTTATTTCTTTACTAGAGGTAAAAGTGAGACATTCTTATTTTCTCTAATAAAAATATAAAAAATTATTAGCCTCAATAATATTACGATATATCATCAAATTGCGTTATATACGTTGATGCAACATTGACTATATAAAGAAAACTATTACATATTAATTTCCTTGTTTTAAGGCAAGAATTTGCTTGAAAATTAGTTCCTTATTTCAAAAGATACTTTCCTAATGTCATATTTCAATTGGGCAAATAACCTACAAATTTTTAAACAACACATATTTACTTACTTTTTTTCTTGATTCAAACACTAAATATTATACTAACTATAGGAAATGATGTAAGATGGTAGCTTGTTGCTATGGTAACCAATGAAAATAGCTGAAAATTACCAACAAAAATTGGGATTACGCTGTAAAAAAGGTAGTAAAGGAGTAATAATGTAACTTAGCAAAACTGTTCTAAATGTGTAAACTTTTTTAAAAAGTATATATGATGAGTCTTCATAGATGAAACATGTTTCACAATACTTTGTGTTAACACAGAGTATTGTTCTCATTATGAATGATGAAACACAATGTAAAGTGAAAAAATTTTGTTAAATGATTTTTTACCAATAAATTATATTAATATTATTTTTTTATATTAATAATAATTTTATTAAAACTTATTTTAATTTAAAAAAACGATTTTTTAATATTGTTGTTTACGCGTTTTGCTATTTCATTTATATAAACTTAACTTAACCAACTCCTATATTTTAGCTAAATATGTTGTTGTTGTTAGTTTCTTGTTTGCGCCTTGATTGTCCAAAAATTCACGCAACGTTAATTAATATTAGCATGACGTTTCTTTCGCTTACCGATACTATGACCCACGATGAGGAAATAAAAATAACTTTTAATTATGCGAACTATGTGTTACGTCATGCTAATATTAATTAACGTTGCGTGAATTTTTGGACAATCAAGGCGCAAACAAGAAATTAACAACAACAACATATTTAGCTAAAATATAGGAGTTGGTTAAGTTAAGTTTATATAAATGAAATAGCAAAACGCGTAAACAACAATATTAAAAAATCGTTTTTTTAAATTAAAATAAGTTTTAATAAAATTATTATTAATATAAAAAAATAATATTAATATAATTTATTGGTAAAAAATCATTTAACAAAATTTTTTCACTTTACATTGTGTTTCATCATTCATAATGAGAACAATACTCTGTGTTAACACAAAGTATTGTGAAACATGTTTCATCTATGAAGACTCATCATATATACTTTTTAAAAAAGTTTACACATTTAGAACAGTTTTGCTAAGTTACATTATTACTCCTTTACTACCTTTTTTACAGCGTAATCCCAATTTTTGTTGGTAATTTTCAGCTATTTTCATTGGTTACCATAGCAACAAGCTACCATCTTACATCATTTCCTATAGTTAGTATAATATTTAGTGTTTGAATCAAGAAAAAAAGTAAGTAAATATGTGTTGTTTAAAAATTTGTAGGTTATTTGCCCAATTGAAATATGACATTAGGAAAGTATCTTTTGAAATAAGGAACTAATTTTCAAGCAAATTCTTGCCTTAAAACAAGGAAATTAATATGTAATAGTTTTCTTTATATAGTCAATGTTGCATCAACGTATATAACGCAATTTGATGATATATCGTAATATTATTGAGGCTAATAATTTTTTATATTTTTATTAGAGAAAATAAGAATGTCTCACTTTTACCTCTAGTAAAGAAATAAAATATTAAATGCCTGTAAGAATAATAGAGAGTATTTCTTTATTTTAAGACAGCGGATTGAGTAAAACTTCCTTACTGTATTATTAACTATTATTGTACGTCTACTAATATATATTTTAACTCTCGAATAAAGTACACACTAAAAAATTATGCTGTTATATTAAACAAAAGTATAACAGCATTGGGATAGGATATAACAGCATAAATGGCGTTATTTTGTGTCATTATGGTGTTAGATTTTTACCTTATGCCATTATATTAAGTCAAATATCAGCAAAATGCTGTTATATAAATTTAAATAATAATATAACAGCAAAATGCAGTTATATCGCTCTCCAATGGCGTTATATATGGCGTTATATTCGAAAATCAAGCTAACGCCATAATTTGCCGATATATTTTTTTAAACATGTTTAGTTTTTATTCAAATAAAATCTAAACTAACCATTTATACGCGTAAATCATATATCTAAATAATAACAATAGTTTGATGTAGTAGTTTGATGTAGATTATTAAGGCGTAAAATATATATTACAAAATATTATACAATGACGAAATAAAATCACTTTTAACATAATTGTAAATAGAACACCGCAAATATACCTTGTAAAAACTAATTTTATATCAATGATAAGAATCTACTAATAAATTTTTATGTAACTGCTCAAACTAAGAAATAGGTTTCATATTTTTAAACGTGTCAATAAATACATTTTCAAAACTTTACAGAATTATTATTAATTATTTCAATGAAAGCTTTATATCCCGACTTGTTCTTTAAGTAACAACTTAAATATAAAATGAAAAATTTTAATAAATTAATAAAGAAAACAACTAGCGTTACTTAAAGACATCAAAAAATTTAGTTAACTGTTTATATGAGCAATATAAGAGCAAGTCTTTTTTGATTTTTTTTCAAAGCATTCGTTTAGCAACACCTCATGAAAAAGACCCATCAGTTGTGAAAAAGAAGATGGATAAGCGAGGTCTAACAAATAGTATATGCAAACAATAACGCATAAAACCTTTTTAACCGTCCGTAACTCTGTGTTGATCATTTCACACCCTGATCTACTGTGAACGCCATATTGTGTTAAGTTATACAGAACTTGCGGACCATACTTTGCAGGTACCTTTAATTCATCGAGCAGATTATCAGACTTAAAAAACAAACAAATTAAATTATAATTTTACTATTTCTAGAAATTTAATTTAACTCAGGTATTTTCCAAATAAACCGCTAATTTGAAAAGAGGACATGTTAAGTGAATATTTTCAGGATATGTCCCCTTTTTAAAATTAGCGGTTTAAATATTTTAAAAGATTTTGTTGTACCAGAATAAATCATTACTATTCTACACAAATAACTAAAGATTTGATTTTAATCTTTTCAGCTACTATTTCATGATTTTTATTCTTTTCAGCTTTTAATCTGTTTTTGCTTTATAATCTGGTCTTCTGAAAGCGCTAATTCAGCTTTAGATAATGAATCTATAATATAAACCTGTTGAAACTGTCTACTTGCAGATTCATTTAAAGTTAGATTAATTTTTATCCAACGTAGTTGCCTAATTATGTTTGATGCCTGGCTTAAAAACAAATCATAGGAGTATTTATCTTTAAAAAACTATATATACAACAACACCAAAAGCACTATATGCATACATCATAAACACACCTAACAAATATTGTAGAGTAATTAAAATAATTTTTACCGAAGGTTCCAAATAGTTTTGAAAATTTAAAAGAAGTGCCAACTGTCTGAAGGAAGAGCAACTTGAGAATACTGAAGAATATAATTTTTCAGGTGCTCTTTAAAAATATCATTGTTTTTACTTGTGTAAAAAGTTCAAAGTAGATATACTAAAAAAGGTCCTTTAGTGAGAAACCTCATCAGAATCAAAAAGAACTGTTAAAGCCTAAAAAAAAACATAGTAAAATGTTTGACATTATAAATATACCATGCAGTTTTAAGTTACGAAGCATATAACTATAAGTTATAGTTTTACAATAAAAAATAGAACAGTTATAATTTATTACCTTTCGTGGTGTCTCGAAGATGTTTTTAGATGCACTATATTGTATAACTGATGAAGATAATTGTCTAACTGGAAGCTGCACAACACTCATACAAGATTCTCCAGCCATATATTGGTTTTCTGAGTTCTAAGTTATTTTCTTTGGTGGAACCACAAAATCTACACAATTATTTAAAATAGATGAACTTTTGGCATGAGTTGATTGAGCTGTGTCAGCTTTATTTAAATCAGATAGAAACCTAACTTGTTGTGAGTTGGATATATTGTTGTCAATACAAGATGTGGAGCTTGAATCATAAGCTCTTTTGTACATTAAGAAGAGCAGTAAAACTATTAGCAGTTACGTAACAGCTGTTCCAATTAACTTCTTCAATTATAGACAAATTGAAGGTTTCGTGAGCTAAAATAGAAAACAATGTAAATATAACTTGGCATCATTGACAATCATCTTTACTACTAATTCAAACCATTATACTAAAAAAGAAGTCACAAACTTTTTGGTTCTGTAATTTTATTTTAACAGTTTGAAGAAATTTATAAGGTATTTTTAGATTTTGATTTGAAATGATACAACACTTGATTTTGTTTTTAAATAAAATGCACGTTATTTAGTTATAACTGGATGCATGAGCGTTTTCTAATGATAACTTTCAATTTAAATTGTAAATACTCAATAACACAATGAATTTAAACAGATAAATTTCATTACATTTTCTGCAAGATCTTTATTAAATAAAAATTAAATAAACCTACCAGCTGCACAAAATACAAAAAAATTACTGCTGATAGCAATAACTATTTCAGATTTTTCTTAACTTTAATTGCTTTCATTTCATTTTCCTTTCACTTTTGCCATCTCGTGATACCGCTTTAAAATTAATGTGCCAGTTTCAAAATTTTTTATTTATTGCAATGATATTTTGCTGATATATTTGCTGTCACATGTGACATCAAATATAACAGCAAGTATTAATGCATAATCATCAGTAAAAATAACAGCAAATATCTTTAAATTTAACACCATATCATAACGCCATAACATAACAGCAAATATAGCACCATTATAATGCCAAAATTGTTTTGTCTCAATTTCTTCGGATCCGCGAATATAACAGCATATATAAAGGCATAACAGATTCTGCTTACATAAATGCGTGGGATGCACTTCGCAATTCTCTCGACCAACAAGTTCTTGATGATATGGTCTAAATAAGTAAAAAAGAACCACACAAAGAAAGGCCAAAATTACTCATAAAAAAACATATAATATAACCTACCCTCCTTTTCTACAATTTCATTTTGTAATTAATTACTTAAATCTTGACTGCCATTAAGCATAAATCTCAATATGAGCAGAATGTGATTTTGCACAATAAAAAATCTCCTTAACATATGAAACATAATTTTGTTTACAGAAAATTGATCCAATCATTTGTAAAATCATATAAAAATTTGCAGAATAATTTTGTTGAAACAAGCTTATATTTTGTTTTGAAAATATTTTTCAAATTAAGCACCAGCATTCTGAAGCAGTCATTTGTAATCGTAGTTCAAAAGATGCAAGAGTTGTGAGTCGACTTTGTATGTCAGAAGAAAAGATTTTTATCTATTGTAATATGAATAATTAATATGAAAAGATTTAATGGTTTCACAACAAAAAGCTGAAGCATAACAAACCTGAAAAATTTAATTCAATTTTGACTCAACTGCTAACTGTTTCTGTATACAATTATCTTGGGAACACGTACTACTGTTCATATTCTAAAAAATCAAGCTGATTAAAAAAATTACATTTGATTTATTGCTAACTGAATAAGGCTTTAAAAAGCTGAATAACAATTTCTAATTTACAACAACACAATTAAAAGTAAAAATACAATACCCGTTAATTATCTGTTGCTTTAAAGGTATTGGCACAGTAATTTGTTGCTAACAACCAAAAGCTCTCAATAAATTGCAATTAACAGGAAGTTTACATTAATTATTTAAAAATATTTTAAAGGAACTAAAATAAAAAATAAAATAAAAGGCAAGTAATGAAACCTAAAATGGTTTCATTACTTGCCTTTTATTAAACCTAAAAATATTTAGACATGAATTTATTTAATACCATACATTTTTTTTATTTATTACAATACCAAATGCTGCTAAATTTTCCTTGCTACAATATAACTGTGATAATTTTTTTTTACCATGACAAAGAATTGTGTTTTCTTGAGGAAATATATTGAGGAGATTACTTTTTTTGTCTACAGAAAACACTTAGTTTCCGTCCGTTTCCATAATTTAATGAACAAATATATCCATATATATATATATATATATATATATATATATATATATATATATATATATATATATATATATATATATATATATATATATATATATATATATATATATATATATATATAAAGCAATACTTTTTTAACTGATTTAAGTCATTTTTTTTATAAATAACACAATTAATAAATGCAATTGGCACAAAAATAAATTATCATCATTGTCATCATCATTATCATCATCATCATCATCGTCATCATCATCATCATCATCATCATCATCATCATCATCATCATCATCATCATCATCATCATCATCATCATCATCATCATCATCATCATCATCATCATTGTCATCATTATCATCATCATCAACATCATCCTCATCATCATCAATATCATCATTATCATCATTATATCATTATTATTCGCTTACTACCAATAGATGTTCCTTAATGATATAAAGGGTAAGTATCAGAAAGAAAATAATTTTTTAAAGTATGGGTTATAAAAAAAAGGAATAGAGAAGTTTCAATTTGTATTTGTTATCTTTTCACACATGGAGCAATACCAGTTTATATCATTATTATTAAGAACATCGTCGGAAATTCTTTCACACATTCTGTGAAACCACTGCAAACAACCTGAGCATTCAACCATGTGTCTAAAAAATAAAGTATCATTTTAAAATAATGACTTTTAATATAGTTAAGTATTTTAATATAGTTTAATATAGTTAACCATCAACAAGCTTGAGGGGTTTAATAAGGGTTGGATTGAAATACTTGCTTGTATTTGGTAACAACATGCTATTTTGTCGTATTTATATTGTAGTTGATTTAAAAAACTCAAACTAATTATTTTTAAAATGATTTAATTTATATATTTACAACAATGACTATCAACAATGAACATTCTAATTTAATGTATTGGTTACTTTTATACTTTTTATATGATATAAATTTACTCAAATTATATTTTAATTCAAGCCAGTTTTATTAATATGTAATTTTATTATTTAAAATTATTATTGTATAAGATAATAAATATAAAAACCTTATAACATAATAAAATGATAAAAATGCTAACTTTCCAAAGATGTTTTTATCAGATGGAACCCAAATCATTCTGCAAGTGCAGTATATATCTAAACTTATTTCCTTTTGTACATTCCGTTTGGCAGTCTTTTCAGTAGTTGAAAATAAACTTAAAAAGTTGCTTTGGAAAGAGTTAAGCAGCTCCTTTCTAAGCTTTGTTTCATCAAAATTTATTTTCGTCGGATAGTCCTTAAAATATAACAGGTACTGTAAAGTCAGGGTTAGGGTTCCGTCAGGGTTCCTATATATTCCGCAGTCAATACCATTTGTTTGCTGTTGAACGGGCAAAATTGTAACTTTTATTTTGTCTAATTGGCAATGAATTATGGAACATATCTGTCTCATAGTGGCATGGCTAAGTTTACCTGTAAAATGACTATCCATAACAAAGACATGCCCTGGTTCACACCTTACAGTACTGATCACAAACCAATGAGCACACCCATCATGTAACACTTGGACAAACTCTTCATTTTTTAAAATTGCAAAACTTAGGTTTTGTCCAAGAATAGGATCTTGCAGACCTTTAGTATTTGGGTATTGTTGTAACAACATTTTTTGTGCAGCATTAATTATGTTGTCCGTTAGCATTTCATTATTACAAATTGTGCTTATGTCTTGTCTGGTGATAGGACAACAAAGGTTCAAAACATATAGTTCTTGGCTGTTGTCTTTTATTGCAATCATTTTCTCAAACTCTTCTTTTGGCGTTAAATGTTTATTTGGTACATTACAATTAAATGAAGTCAGACCATCTAGATCCATGTCTTCTATGATAACTTCCTCTTCAACATTGACAACAGGACAGTCTAATGTTGTAATTTTTATCTTTTCTCCAGCTTTTTTTTTGTCCTTAGCTATTCCACAACGACTTGAATAAAACATTTTTTTTACCCCTTTTTGGCAAATCTAAAATGTGACAGTATTTAGCAGGCTGCTGCTGACTGATAGGTATTCCACTCTCATGGGTAGTGTTTTCATTTAAAAGCTTAGACGCCTCCATTAGCAGACTATATACTTTTTCAAAAACATCAACATTTTTATTTACATTATATTTATTATTTTTATTTACATTATATTAATTGATTTTTAATTACATTAAGTAGCTCTCTACAGTTCCCAGCAGAAACGCTTTCTTTATTTAAACTATTACTACAAATGTTTTCTTCATTTATTTCTTCTGATTCTACTAGCTTTTTAGAATTGGTAAAATTAGTGTCACATTTGTCTTTTTTAGATGTAACTTCCTCATTTTGAAAATGAATTTCTTCATTGTCTAATGTTAGGAATGGTGAATTGCAATATATTAGTGGTAATGCATCCCATTGCCAGAGTGGGAACTTTCTAAAAATTGCAAAAAAATGCTTGCATGGATAACAAGATAAACGCCATGAAGAGCATGTGCAGTTTGGCATATTACTATCATTTCCAAAATCAATTTGGTAGTTTACTGTAACACCTTTAATGGAGAATATACCATGATTTATCATTGATACCTTACCTAAATCAAAGCTTTCAGCAAGACAGATTTTTTTAAGGCAATGTGTAACCATTTCACGAGGTCGATTTATTAGGAAACTTGGTATTATCTTTGCATAACAACGATATCTATAATCCATTTTTAAGTTTTTTTAATATAGCTAAAAAAAAAAAGAGCAAAGGAATAAATAATAAAACTTAAAACAATTTGTTGCACAATGTGACATCAAAAAACCTTTGGTATTTATCTAGAAAAAACTCTTCAATTAAGATAGTTAGCATTCCAGTTAATGAAGAACTATTAAATTGTTGGAGATAAGAATATTTAAATGATTTATTTTGTCTTTCGACTCCATTATTTGTGTTTAAATTCACTAGTAGACTGTTTTGACGGTATGCTCAAACCCAACGCTAAAAAGTGTAAAATGCAAAATAAATTATATAGCTTTTTATTATGCTACAGAATAACAGAATAATTTCCTGCTTCATTTTTGGACATAAATTTCAGGAAGAATCTATTTTTAATTAAAATATTTAATGATATAATACCTCAATAATTGTTAACCAATAAGTCTCTATATACTTTTTCAACTTTGAAAATCTTTCATTACTCCAATATTCAGACTGTTTTAAATCCAGAATAGCTAACTCCATTGCATCAACATTTGTTGAATGAGAAATCTTTCTTAGCTTTTGGAGGATATCTGCTTTTTGATCAGCACAACCGTTTGATACTTTTACTATCCAACGCTCCCAGGCCTGTTCACGATGGAAGTCGCAAATCAAAACTTTACAACCTGAGCAAAAAATGTGAATTAGTTACTTCACAAATAAATCTAATTAAAGAAATTTTAACAAATCTATTTTCCACTATTCCTCATAACAGCATAATTTTTACTATACTACTGTATAAATCGAATTTAAATATATGTATAAATATATTAAATCGAATGTTAATGGGAGAAATAAAGGTTCAAATTGGAGGGATTTTTTTTTATTGAAAGTTAAATATAGTTACAAAAAAAGTCAGTAATTCTAGATTTTTTTTTATAACCTTATAAATCTATATCAACAACAAGAATTTGGTGTCATTAAAAAAGCTTTATATTTACTAGCCTTACTATTATATTATAAATTTTAATTTATTAAGGTGCCAACCACCAAATATATAAAAACATTCAAACTTAAAAAAAAAATTTATATCAATGAAAATTACATTAATTTAGAATGCTATTTTATACTTCATTACACGATTACTTTGCCTCAGATTTATCGAAAAACATTCAAAACATGATAACTTGAAACATATTAATAAAAAATCCATGAAATTTTTCACATATGTTCTAGACAAGTAAGGTAAGGTATTGACATTTGGATTTTAAGATTTTCAAACTACATAAAAAATTGTATCACTTTTTTTTACATCAAGCAATGAAAAAAACTATTTTAGAATATAAAACCAAATATAAAGAGATTGGAGCAGAATTTAAAAATTTTGAATTGTTACTTCATAGAAAATAGTATAATAAGCATGTCCTGAAAGTTTGAAGTGATTTGCACTTCTGCTTCAAAAGATATCATGTTGAAAATCAGACAATATTTAGAAAAATTAGAAAACGGAGAAAAACACAAAACAAGATTAAATACTCTTGTGATTCCTATACAAACTTATTTTAGCCAGTTTATTTATCTAAAAATAAAAAAATAAGATGGGAATTAGCTTTTTATATTATTAATCTACAATAACTTGCCTTCTAAATGAGCTAAATATCAAAATTTCACTTTTTTTTTTTTATTTTTTAGAAAATATTTAGTGTTGTACCACCTTAAATCGTCTCTAAAGTTGTTGCACATATTTTTGCCTAATTTTTTTTCACCAAAGTGTGTAATAAATGTTTTTAAACATAAGAAATTAATTCATGCTAATATTTTTTCACAAACTTAAAAAATTTAATCAAAGAGTTCAATCATTATAAAACAGATTATGCCACAAATATTAAAAACAGCTTGAATTAAGGAGAGGAGATTACTGATGGGTTTCAAAACCCATCCAGTTTAAAGGGGTTTTCAAATTATATAGATTCAAAATATAGTACATTAAAATAATGTATTTCTATCCCTGAGAAACTTTTTTCATACTAATTATCTAAAAAACTTACCAGGAAAAATTTCTTCTAAAGCATCAATTTCCTCATTGCAGTAATCCGTCATGCAAAAAGATGGAGAAAGTTTCACATTCCTTCTTTTGAAAACACGCAAAGCTTCACATATTGCTCGTTTTGTTTCGTTCTCAGTGATAAAGCACCCAACTATTTAGTAGTCAACATTTGTTTTGACTACTAAAAAGAAAACGGGTAAAACATATCTCGTTGTTTTATAAGTTGCATCTAATAAGAGCATTTCATTTCCATATCGACGCACAAGTTTGCATTGCCATTCTGATTGATAAACAAATAAAAGTGAGTTTTTAGAATCATTTTCAGTAAACTTTAGGTCCTCATCTGTTTCAGTACTATCTTCATTAATTTCATTTTGAATTATTGTATCTGTTGCATCATTTTTTTTTCAAGTTGTTTTTAGGGCGAAAAAAAATATTTACAGATGGATCATCTTTTTGTCATGCCTTAATTTTATTAAGAAGGCATTCCTGATCAATTAAAGAAAGTTGTAATTTTTTTCGTGCTGCAACCATATGCACTCGAATAATATTGTTGCTTGGAAAAAATTGCCTATTATTTATATCAGGCATATCACTTTTATCAAACAGGTCATTTCTTACAAAGATTTTTAATAGACGCCTCATTTCTAAAACATTTTTGATTTCATTAGCATAACTTATAACTTTTTTAGATAACCTAGGATCTATTTCCTGTGAAATACCAGCAAGCTACATAAAGAAGAATAACAAAGACATATTTTGTCATTTAGCTAAAATACATTACATTGCTAAATTTACCTATTTAATTACTTTAATCCACCATAACACAGCATAAATATATTAAAAAATAAAAATAACTTACTTCTCCAACCGCATGGTTTCTATGTTCTGAAATGTCATCTACAATAAGCATAATTTTCTTCTTAGTCATACCAATATCACCTTTTACTTTTAACAAATTTCTTATTTGCAAAGAGGTAATTCTCTTTTTCCATTCTGTGGGTTCTGTAAGCTTTTAATTAGGAGATGATAAATAAAATAAAAAAGATGCAATAAGTGGCTCTAAATATATAGCTCTTAAAGAAACAGTTCTAAAAGTCATAGATTTTTTTCAAACTATTTACATGGATGTACGAATTTCTATCAATTAGAGTAAATTGTTTAGAAAATACCTTATAATCTTTGAAATATATAATTTCCTTCATAGAAACTTGTGCTGGACATTGGAATTTTTTTGTGTCTTGCACACTAAAATAACTTTTTTGACATTAGAGTGTTCAGAGTGTTCAGTTTTCTAAAATTATTCCAGCAATACTTTAGTAAGTTAAATATTTTTTATAAAACTACAACTTAGAATAAAAGTGTTATAAACAATGAAGTTTACCTTTGCTTTTGTTTTATCCTTGTATGTTTTTTTTCTTGCATTATTGCGATCTGTACCATGTGAACAATCTAAAACTTTCTGTGCTAAAACTATGAAAGGCACTTCTGCATAAGATCCTTCAGTTTCCCATAAAACTTTATGATTTTCACTATGTACATCTAAATGTGACAGGGTCTGCTTTACACTGAAAGCATTTATACAAAAAATGATATAATAAGCTAACCAAACTTCAATGAGAAACATTGAATTTACAGTAAACAATTAATAATTTAAACATTCACTTACAAATTCTAGTAAAGTAGAACCATTTTACAAAGAACCATATGAAAAGAAATTGAAATAAAGTATGACAATGCAATTAAATTTAAATATTAACAATTTTTAAATGTTCGATTTAGAGCAGTAGCTTATTTGTATAACTTTTACTATCATGTATTGGAATATTATATTTTGAAGCCACTGTTTACATTTACATCAAATTTTTTACATCAAAGAAAGTAATTTTGGTTTATAGAAAATTTGAGAAAAATGTTTGAAGTTTGAGATTGAAGTCTGCCATGAACTATTTAATTTTTAGTTAATAAAATTAAATAGTTCATGGCAGACTTCTTTTAAACAAGCTTTTAAACTGGATAAAAAATAATTACAAAAATTTCTTACTCAAGGAGAAGCAAAAATAATAACTGCAAAAAAATGGTAACGTAATTGCAAACGATAGAGACATGATTTTAAAGCTGAGAAAATGTGACATTTAATTTTTTTTAATTTATAGCGTGTACACAAAATAAATGTGAAAGAGTAAATACGTAATTTTTTTTCAGTGCTTGTATTAATATATTTTTAATTGTGTTTGTATTTTGCTGGCAGCATGTAATGATTGCAAAATAGGTTTTTAATTTTCTCATTTAACTTAAAATAAGTTTTAAAAATGGCGAAAGAAGAAGACACTCAAAAAAAATACTTTGCACAAAATTTATTAAAAATCTGAATTTAGCTACAATTCAGTAGCAAAAAAGTTGCAATTACATTTCTACAACGTCAGTCATGTTATTTAATGTTTTCCCTAAACAAAATCAATCAAATGCAAATCTGGTAATGGAGAAAAGGAGGTTTTTCAAGATATAAAACTAGTTAAATAACTGGTTCCCAGTTTTTTAAATAATATTAGCTACTCACTAATGGAATGCACAAAAATATGAGGATTTTCTCATTGTTTTGTCATAAAAGTTTGATATAATCATGCTTTTCAAGCTCTCATATTACAAAATCTGTCTGTTCTAAAATTCAAAAAAAAAAACAAGAATCCACTAAAGAAAGTTGTATGACAACTATATTTCTAAAAATTTCTGAATTATTGAATATTATGAAACTTATATATAGTATGATCATCAGCAAATCCTTTGATTTCGCAAGCTATTTGCAGGTATAACAAAAAGTCAGCACCCTATACTTCTTATTCCACACTTTTTGGTATAATATATGTTAAATCATGTTAACGAAAACATCTTTTACCTCCTACAAAATCACATGATAGTAGACATGTATTCTGGCCTGATTTATCATCAAGTCATTATAGCAAACTGGCTATGAGATGGTATATAAAAAAATAACCTGAAAGTTTTCTAAGTTAGCAAATCCTTCTAACTACCTAGTATTAAAAATTATTGCAAAGTACTGGGTAACCATTAGACAACAAATAAAAAACAAATTAAATAAACTATGCAGAAACACTAAAGATTTGAAAATTTTATTTAAAAAACATCAAATAGTTTTGATTTTTGATCTGTGCGCAAGCTTATGTATACCACCAAAACAAAAGTTTGAAATTTTATTAGATATCCATAGGAATAAATTAATTTCTTTGAAATATTTTATCTTCTTATAGTAATGTATTAAAATAAATACTTAGCTCCCAATAAAAGTCAATGAGTACCTTTTTATAGCTAATTTTTTACTTTCACACTTATTTTGTGTTCATGCTTTATAATGTATTTTATTTACTTTTTGAACTATTTTCACTTACTTTGGAAAGTTTGTGTTAAAGAATTTTGTGACAACTTAAACTCAAACATTTGCATCTAAAGTTGATATTAAATAAATCAAAAAAAGGTTCAAACCTGTGTTACCAAATCCTTTGGGTGTAAACCATGCTACAAAGCGAACAGTGTGTTCTAATTCGTATTGTTTTATGTAACACAAGGCCTCATTTTCATCTTCATAAAGAATTATATGACTTTTTCTTTTAGCTATAAAAAATTCCTGTTATTAACATCTTCAATCTCTGAAAAGAAAAAAAAATTTAAACTAAACTTTAGCAAAAGTTTGGTTTGAATCTTTTACAAAGCAATAAAACCTCAATAAAACTTTGTTGAAGTTTTATTGCTTTGTAAATTTTATCAATTTAAATTTATTTATAAACCATGGTATATTAGTAAAAAATATTGAAATTGATATCATATTGTACAATAAGTACTTATTGTACAATATGATATATTAATTTCAATATTTTTTACTAATATACCATGGTATATAAATAAATGTAAATTGATACATTATATTGGTATAAAGTTACTTGATACTGTTTATTGGTATTATTTAACAGTATTTTAAATGGTTGATTGTTATTGTTTAATATTATTTTTATATTAAATAACTATATATATATACTGTATTATTCACTAGATTTTATTTTTATACAACCATATTGTTTATAAGCATATGCAGGCTCAGATTTTGTTGTTGTTACTACTTAAGTAGTACCATGTGTAATGCCATTATACGCACCATTAAAATACTAATAATAAATGAATTCAAAAATATAAGTAAGCAATTATTTAAAAGTAAATTAAGTATAAAGGTACACACAATAGCAAGTTAAACTTCCTTTTTATCTTTTGTATATAAAAAGACAGGATTATTATTTAAAAAGCAGATTAGCAACGTCAATAACAAATATGTTAATTAATTTTTATTTAATGACCTTTTTCCCTCAGTCACTTTTTAATACTACTTTCCAATCTTATAACTACTTTAACAAAAAAACTTACTAACTTACTTTTATTTTTACTTTCATGCATTTTTTTAAACTTTTGAAGCACGTGCGAAATAAACGAAAACAATAACAGATTAGTTTTCTTGGATCACGCAATGTTAACTAGTATTAGCATGACGTAATAACAAAGTTCGCATAATTAAAATATATTTTTATTTCCTCATCGTGGGTCATAGTATCTTTCGATTACCTAAAAAAAATCTAAAAAGCGTGGCACAGTTTTTTAGCACATAATTCGGTTCCGTAAAACGGATATTTCCACGTACCTAACTTGATTAGTTGGATTCAAATGTTCTTCAAAAATACTTCTCACAATTTGAAAGCACAAGAACTGAGGTCGCCGCACAAGCTTTTTCAATCTTCCAAGATAACTTTCATATGGAAAAGAAGAGACTTTATCCAGAGCACCGTAATGATTAACATCATCTGGCAAATGAATTAAGGAGTGAATAATATAAACGCACTGATCTTTCCCATGTAATTTACAAAATGTAGCAACAAAATATGTTAGCAACTTTTTAACATAATCAAGATAATTTGCACAAAGCGATGGACATAAAAGAATACGTACAGCAACAGATAAATCCAAAAAGTTTATATAAACATCATTTGGCAATATACCTTTCAAAACTACTGGACCAGTATATCATAAAAACTGGCGTAATTCAGTAGCTTTCCAGCGTTTAAATTCCAATATTGAGCGAGGTTTCTTTTGGTACATGCTGTTAATATAAAACAAGTTTTTCAGATAATGTAGTTAACGATGTTTTGGATAAACATTGTTTCTTTTTACTTCCATGTAGGAAGTAAAAAGAAAGGGATGTACCGAAGCTTCGGCTTCGGCTTCGGCGTGCCGAAGCTTCGGCAATTTTGCCAAAGCTTCGGTTCGGCCGAAGCCAGGTCAATTTTTTGCCGAATCTTTGGCTTCGGCAAAAAATTTTAAGTAATTAAAGTTATAAGCTACTGTGGGACAAGTTATAAAAATAAGCTAATTGCCAGTGTCTAATAAAGTTATACATTTAGTTAAAGTTGGAGTCTATACCATATACTTAGTATTATTTACTCCCAAGTGTCTTGTTATGGAGGGGATAATAATAAATAAGTAAAAATATTTTGAAAAAAATAATAAAATTAGGGAAGGTCCTCATACACTTTGAAAGCTTCCAAGTGTGACTTTAGATGAACTGAAGCAGCATTTCTATGCAGAATAAAAACCTTAAAATTTAAAACAAATTAAAAGTTTTTAAAACTCTAATTTGTATTATGTAACGAATTCATATTTATAATTGTGTGGAATTACCGAAAATAGAACAAAATTTGGTTTCAACATTTGACCGATAAACCTTAGTAATCTCTCTTTATAGAAGATTAAAGATATGTTGCTACTATTTTAAATTGTGTGTAAATTTACAAATTTTCATCGTAAATTTACAGAAATTGGTTAGGTGTCACTTATATAGATACAAAATAGTCAATGGAGTGACACATAAAAAACAAAAAGTTCTCAACAACAAAAAAGGAAGAAAAGCAAATGAAATATAAACGAGGAGAATAAAAAAAGAAAAAAAAAGCCAACAAAAACTAGATAAATTAAAAGAAAAAGAAAAACAATGATATAACTAAATAGAATTTATATATTAAACATGTAAACCAATATTCTGGTTTCTTCTTATGATATTATGAAGACTTTTAAATTTTATTTAAAATAAATTAAAGGTTGAAGCTTTGATTACTTTGAGCTCTTATATTTATCATCAAAATTTATTTAAATTAAACAAACAATTTAAATCAAATAAATATCAGCCTGCTCAGTCCCTGTTTATTTATAAATATAAAGTAAATAATAATATAATTATAAATAAAAAAATTTATAAAGTATTCTATTTATTATTTTATTTAAAGCTCACTCTACAGAGTTGTTAGATTACTATGGAAGGTTTTATCACAGATAGTTAATATTTCGCGAGGTTAGAATTATTTTGTTCTATCTCCACATTTTTTTGTTTCGAGATAAAACGATTTAAAAAATAAAAACTTTAGGAGACGGCAAATAAAAAGATTTTTATTACTTATGTTTTCTCCGAAACTTTTTTGATTTTAACTTAGGTTTTAATATAGTAGAAAAAAATTATTTTGAGGTACATTACACAATTAATAACTCATTTTTTTCAAAAAGTGGAGATAGAACAAAATAATTCTAACCTCGCGATTTGATTTCAGATACTGATGCAGATTTATGTAAAAGATTTATGTATGTAAAAGATTAAAAAAGCTATAGAAAATGTTATGTAG